ATTTTATGGTTGGGCACAACATGAGGAACTGTATTTAAAGGGCCGGAAAGTTGAGAACCATTGCAATGGCTTCCAATGCTCTGCCACTTCAGATAATATTTTTTTAATATATTTTATTGATTTTTTACAGAGAGGGAGGGAGAGGGATAGAGAGTTAGAAACATCGATGAGAGAGAAGCATCGTTCAGCTGTCTCCTGCACACCCCCTACTGGGGTTGCGCCTGCCACCAAGGTACATGCCCTTGACCAGAATCAAACCTGGGACTCTTCAGTCCGCAGGCTGACGCTCTATCCAGTGAGGCAAACCGTCTAGGGCTTCAAATAATATTTTAATAAACAATTTCATACACGTTCCCTCATAAACTCTGCAAGCATTGCTGGGTCATAACCCTGTAAGTGTTCCTGTATCCCCCAAGTTTTGCCAACACCTGGCATCATTCAGTTTTCTCATTTTGACAACTGAATAGGTATAAAGTTTCCATTACTTTTGTAACTATTCCTAAAGATTGAAAAAGAAAGCTTCCACCCTTTTTACTATAAAAAGAGTATAACATTGATACCAAAACCTGAAATAAATTGCAAAACCAAAACTACAGAATAAAACTCATAAATAATGGAGCAAAATCCTGAATATTAGCAAATAAACTCTGATAATACATGATGTGCTTAAGTATATAATGTATTTGTATTACAGTATTAATTCCAAGACTATAAGAATGGTTCAATAGCCTAGCTGGCGTGGCTCAGTGGTTGAACGTCAACCTATGAATTAGGAAGTCACAGTTCAATTCTGTGCCTGGGTTGCAGGCTTGATCCCCAGTGTGGGGCGTGCAGGAAGCAGCCAATCAATGATTCTCTCTCTTCACTGATGTTTCTATCTCTCTCTCCCTCTCTGAAATCAATAAAATATATATTTTTTAAAAAGATAAAACAAGAATAAATCTGACAAGAAATTTGAGAGACATATGAAGGAAACGTAAACATAAAAAGAAGGCTTGAACCTACTGTTCTTGGTTAGGAGATTCCCCAACGTAAGATGTGATTTCTCTCTAAGTTGATTCATAAACTGAACGTGATCTCATTAAAAATAACAAGTTTTTATCATTGAACTAGACAAACTGATCCTAAATTTCATTTAAAAAAATAAACAAGAAAGAATACTCTGGAAATTTTCAAAAAAGAAAGGCAATGGGGAGTAAAATACATTAAAAGCCTTAGAACAAGAAAAGTTGACGTCTTAACCTGGTGAGGCAAAGATGAGCTGTCTAACAAGCACAGGCACAAATGAATAGCCATCTGAAAAGGAAAAAGTTGGATCCACATCTCATACTATAAGGTACACCCCCCCCCCAAAAAAATGCATACACACGTTAACAGCTGGTAACTCACTTAATTTTCACTCCTTTTCAGGTTTAACTGATTTGAAATAATGGGTAAAGCCAGACTAAGCTTTGAACAAAGAAAATTTATCTTAAAGTTCCACTAGGCTTTTTTTTTTATGGGGATAACATAAAAGATAAAGATTATGGTACAAAACTAGCAACAATCAACTAATTGAGGGCACACAAATACCAAATGAAATGATTTTTGATGTTGGGGATTCCACTGCTTAGTGCATTATCAGCAGTGCCTGGACCAGAATGGTCATCAGTTTGAAAACAGGCATTGAGCCCTAGCTGGTTTGGCTCAGTGGATAGAGTGTTGGCCTGCAAACTGAAAGGTTCCAGGTTCGATTCCAGTCAAGGGCACATGCCAGGGTTTCAGGCTCGATCCCCAGTAGGGGGCAGGCAGGAGGCAGCCAATCAATGATTCTCTCTCATCATTGATGTTTCTCTCTCTCCCTCTCCCTTCCTCTCTGAAATATATATATATATATATATATATATATATATATATATATATATATATATATATGAAAACAGGCATTGACAAAAAAATTATTCATTTCTGTAGATTCTTTTAAACTTTGAAAATGAATTGTATGTTAATGAACACTTTACAATCATTCAAAGTGTGTATACATTTTTGGGGCACCCTGTATATATACTTTCCAAATGAATCAATGACTTAAATATGAAAAATAAAACCATACAAGTTCTAGAAGAAACCATAGGAGAAATTCTTTATAACTTTGGAATGGAGAATGTGATACTTTTTTTGTTTATTTTTTTGTTAATCCTCACCCAAGGGTATTTTTCCATTGATTTTTTAAAAATGCATTTTTTTTATTGATTTCAGAGAGGAAGGGAGAGGGGGAGATAGAGATAGAAACATCAATGATGAGAGAGAATCATTGACTGGCTGCCTCCTGCATGCCCCACACTGGTGATCAAGCCCACAACCCGGGCATATACCCTTGACCGGAATTGAACCTGGAACCCTTCAGTCCTCACGCCGATGCTCTATCCACTGAGCCAAACTAGATAGGGCTTTCCATTGATTCTTAGAGAGAGTGGAAGGAAGGGGGAGAGACAGAGAAGGGAAAACATCTATGTGAGAGAGACATATCCATTGGTTATCTCCTGCACACACCCCCACCGGGGCTGGGGATTGAGCCTGCAACCGAGGTATGTGCCCTTGACTGGAATCATGGGCCAGCCTTCTATCCCCTGAACCAAACCAGCTAGGGTGAGAATGTGTTTCTCATTATGATTTAGGACATAGACACTATAAAAGGAAAACTGATAAATAAAACTTCTTGAATGGCTCCAAACATAGTAAATAAAGTCAAGAGATAATGCAGAACTAGAAAAAAACATTTGCAATTAACATCAGGCAAAGAGCTATCTTGCCACTATGTAAAGAACTCCCAGTAACTAGTAAGAAAGAAGAAAAAAATGAGCAAAGGATATGAACAGATGGCTCAACAGTCCAAACATTTAATAACATGTGAGCAAGAGTATGGGAGGAAGGTGGACTCTTGCCTGTTGCTGGTGGGAGTAAAAATCAGTGTATCTGTGAGGGAAAATCTGTCAGTATCTATCAAATTTTCAAATGCATATGCTTGTAGAACAAGCCCACATTCATCCTGCAATATATCTGCACATGTAAGAAAGCTATACACGCACAAAGCTATTCACTGCAGCCCTGTTTGCAACAACAAAAACTGAAAACAATCCAAGATGGAGGATTAAATAAATTACAATGCATCCCTACAGTGGGATCTCAAAGAAAGAGAAAGTTCTCTACATTGTCATGTAATGATGTACTGATTGGAAAAAATATATGAAGTAAAGAGCAGTGGCATAATATGCTTATTTTATATGCAAAAGACACTCTATCTAGGGAGATGTCCCCCCAAAAAACACACACCACTGTTTTCTTGGGTGGGATGAGGGACACGGACTAGGTAGTTGGGGAAAAGGATGGGTATTTCCCTATATACCCTTATATATGTATATATTTTTTGCCTTTTCCACTTCATATTATCTATATAAAACATCTCATTTAATAACATGCAATTAAAGAGAAAAAAGAAACACTATTTAATTATTAAAAAGAATAAGTCAGCACTAGATTCACTGATATTCAAGATCTAACAAATATTTTTAAAGGAAAAAAGCAAAAGGACAAAGAGAGTACAGTATGCTTCCATTCATGTGCTTTAGAAAAGATATATTCTCATAGATGCACAGACTATCTCTGGAAATATATACCCAACGGGATGAATGCCTGCTTCTGGGGAGGGCAAACAGGAGACGGAAATATGCACTTGACACTGTGTGTCCTTGGCTACTGTTTGAAAACTATATATTTTTTACTACGTGAAGTTTTTCTTTATAAAATGAATTTCAAATTTTCTATCCCCAGCCAGGTCTCACCTCTGGGCTCCAGATCTGTATTCCAACAAGCCCCTGCATTTCTCACAGGTGCTTTCAACCCAGTAAAGACGAAACTAGATTCATGATCTTCCCCACAAAACCTGTCTGCCTCCAGGGCTCCTGCCACTGTCGACAAACCCAAAGCATGCACTGTTCTCAACCCTCCCTTCTCGCTTCTCCACATCCAGTCAGTCCACGGGCCCTTTCTCTTCTCTGCAACCACAGCAGTTCATCTTCACCAGTAGTGCCCTCACCCAAGCAATCGTGAACTCTCACTTGGCTTTGCCATGGTCACTAATGGGTCTACAGACTGCTCTTGCCCCCTTCTCACAATCTCATCCTTCTCTCCCTACTTAAAGGCTTTCCAGCAGCTTTGGGGAAGTAACATGATCAGATGGATTAGAAAGGCCCAGAATTCTCAACAGAGTCCACATGATCTTGCCTTTTCTGGTCCTTTTTTCATGACATTCTCCCATTTCACTCTTTACATTGCAACCAAACAAGTGTTTTAGTTCCTCAAACTCCTCCTCCCTCCGAGCCTCCCTGGTGGGCCCTCTGGACTCCACCAGCACTGAGCTCTCACTGCAGAGTCTCTCTCTCACCATCAGTCTCAGAGCATCTTTACTGAGCTTCCAGACTAGGTCAGGTTCCACCTTTCACATTGGCTTAGCATCCCTTCATCCATGCAAGAGTAAATAATGTATATATACAAAAGCCTAAGCCACGGGCCGGCAGCTATGACACACACTGACCACCAGGGGGCAGACGCTTAACATAGGAGCTGCTGAGCAACAGCAACTTTTCAGCGTGCCCTCTCGCACTCCGGCCCTCCTCGGGGGATGTTGGACTGATCCCCGAAGGCCAGGCCAAGGGACCGCACTGGTGCATGAATCCGTGCTCCGGGCCTCTAGTTATAAAATAAGCTCTTTAATATTTATCCTTCAAATAGTCTAAGGACAAGAATAGTTTTGTTCACTGCTGCACCCTCAATGCCTAAAACAACATCTACAAAATAAGCAGCTGTTGAATGAATGAACACGAAGAGAAAAACGGAACTAGAGGAAGAGCCAAAGCCACCATCCATCAAGTGTCAGCAGTGACCTGAGGCAGAACTTCCTGCCCAAACTCTTGCCTTAGCAGCCCTGGCCGTGAGCTTATACCTAGCATCTGCCTACTCACCACACTGCCTGGGGACTGGAGCTGGCCTGACAAGGCCGGGCTGCTGTTGTAGCCAGAAGTGACAACAGAGGAGAGGCTTCCATTGGAGCTGGTGCACAGGGAGCTGGAGGTGGCGAGGGTGTGTAGTTTTTCCTCTTCCTGGGAAGGACAGATCACTGTCAACCAGCTTCTGGTGCACCCTCACTACCCAGGCCCCACAGCCCCACATCCACCCCTCTCACCTCCCTGATCCCACCTCCCTGATCTCACCCCTCCCTCACCCCCAGTGCCTCCCACCTCAGCCTCACACCCTCACACCTCCCCACAGCCCCACCCCAACTCTATACCAAGGCAGCCTCCTCCCAGACTCTGGCCCAGCAATAGGAGCTGGTCTGATGAGAATAACACATAAAGACAGTGAACACAGCTTTGACCTGGCACAGGGGTCAAATGTTACAGTCCATGCCTGAGGCAGCCCAGTGAAGACGACCCGTCTGAGGCCTGCCTCCAGGCTCCAGGCCTACCCTGAAACCTGTTTCCCACCCTCAGCAGCTGGGAGATGATCTGCTGGCGGATTCTCAGCTTCTCTTGTTCCGTTTGCTCCCGCAGTCGGTCCCGGGCCCGGGCGATCACCACCTTGGCCTCCTCACGAGCCCGCTGGTATTCTTTTAGCATCAGCTCTATGTCAGAGGGTGGCTGAACAGACCTTGACGCTGACCCTGGGTTCCTGGGAAGGACCAGAGGGGCAGAGAGGTGCCTTCTAACACGGTGGGTGGGCGATGGCCATGGCCTGCTCACCCCAGGCCTGTTCAACACCATATTTTTAACTTTAAAGAAATTATTTTTCAATTATACTTGACATACATACTAGTTTCAGGTATACAACCTAGTGATTAGACATTTATATACCTTACAAAGTGGTCACCCATAAGTCTAGTACCCATCTGACACCACACATAGTTATTACAATATTATTGACTATATACTTCATGCTGTACTTTACATCCCCATGACTATTTTGTACTATATATGAAAAAGTATATGTTTTATTTATTTCAGAGAAGAAGGGAGAGAGAGATAGAAATATCAATGATGAGAAAGAATCAATGGGTTGCCTCCTGCATGCCCCCTCTGGGAATTGATCCCACAACCCAGGTATGTGCCCTCCCTGACTGGGAATCAACCATGACTCCCTCGTTCATGGATCGATGCCCAATCACTGAGCCACACCGGCCAGGCTATTTTGTACTTCTTTTTTTAAAAAAATATATTTTTATTATTTCAGAGAGGAAGGGAGAGAGAGAGAGAGACATCAATAATGAGAGAGAACCATTGATCGGTTGCCTCCTGCATGCCCCCATGGGGAGTTGAGCCTGCAACCTGAGCATGTGCCCTTGACCAAAATCGAACCCGGGACCCGCCAGTCCACAGGCCGATGCTCTATCCACTGAGCCAAACCAGCTAGGGCTATTTTGTACTTCTTAATCCCATCACCCTTTTCACCCATTTCCCAATCCCCTTCTCCTCTGGAAACTGTTAAAATGTTCTCTATATCTATGAGTTTGTTTCTATTCTGCTTGTACATATAAGTGAAATCATATGGCATTTGTCTTTGACTTATTTCACTCAGCACAATTCTCTCTAGGTTCATCCATGTTGTTGCAGATGGCAAGGTTTCATTCTTGTTTATAGCTAGGTCATATTCTATTGCATGTATGCACTTTTTCTTTATCCATTTATCTACTGATGGACACTTAAGTTATTGTAGATAATGCTACAATGAACAGAGGCGTGCATTTTGTCTTTTTGATTTAGTGTTTTGAGTTTCTTCTAATAAATGCCCAGTAGAACAACTGGGTCCTTCTTTGACTTTTGTTTTTAAGTCTATTTTGCCTGGTATAAGTATTGCTACTTATTTCATGAAATACCTTTTTCCATCCCTTTACTTTCTGTGTAACACCACTCCTGGTGAGCCATCCTCTCTTTGCCCACAGGGTCCTCAGTTTGATTTTGTATCCCACTCGGAGGCTCAGACCTGCAGTCTCATTATGCCATAGCTACTCTGCTCATCCTTTGCTCCCTTTGCCCCATCTCCCGCAGCCACCTCCATGTGTCCACAGGCACAGAAGACCCACTCCTGGAATTGCTCCTGTGAGAGGAAGCTGCAGCCTCCAGCCTCCAGGACACTAAGATTCAGGCCCTGCTCCCCACAACCCCCTCACCCCACACAGAACCTACTCCCTTGCAGGCTTCTGGGTCCACCCGTACCTGGTTGTCTCCACAACATCCTTCCTCAGTTGCTGCAGGTATTCTCGGCGCCTGCTGGGTAAGTCAAGGTTACGGGCGGGGAGGTCCCTGTTAGGCAGGAAGCTAAGTTGTTTCTGGGGGCTGAGGCTTCGTGTCCGGCGGAAGTTCTGAAGTCGCTCAGCCCGCTGTCTCCGGAGGCACTCAATGGTTTGTTTTTGCCTGAGATAAAACATGATTGATTCACTGAAACTGGCCATGAATGCCCTTCTCCATTTTATAATCTATCTCTGACCCCTGGAAGAAACCAGAACTGAGCAGGAGGAGAGGGAACAGCCGGTGCGTAGCCTTGGTTCTTTCCTCAGGCCCCCCTCGCCCTCCCACTCCAGGCTGGGACCCTTACCGGGCATGGAGCTCCTCCCAGGTGGACAGCACAGGTTCCTGGGCAGTGAGTGCCTCCCCTGTCCCGCTCTGCAGCACCTCGAGCAGGGCATCTGACTTCCCAAAGCCGTGGTGCAGCTTCGCTTCTGCGAGTTCCGTGCTGAGAGGGAGGTTCTGGGCCCCAACTTGCAGGGGCATCTGCTCCTTCTGGGAGCGCGCAGGGTCCGGGCTCTGGGCGCCCGGAGGCTGTGAGGGATGCTGTCCCTGCTCTTCAGTGCTGACATGTCTGGGTCCCAGCAACCCCGTCACTCCCAGCTCCCCACGAGAGCCATCCTGAACCCCACACCAATTCCTAAATTTGTTATGCACTGGGAGGTCCCTCAGGCTGTGATGCTGGGGCTCAGGAGCCATGCATGTCTGGGAACTGGGGCGCAGCAGCCCCTGAGGTTGGCAGGCCTCGGTTGGGCCAGAGGTAGAACCCTGGAGCCTTGTTTTATCAGTCAACTCAGATACAGGGCAGGGACTGAGGTGCTGCCAGCCTTCCCCCGAAGAGGGACTGTTGGCAGTGGGTTGTGGCTCCACTGCAGATGCTGAACTCTCACCCCCATTTTCTGTCCTGCTCTGCCATTTATTTGGCCCGCTACTGCAAAGTGGGCCACACTCCAGGGGAGCCATGTCCTCGGGGACCAAGCCCTCGGCCGGTATCGGACTCCTGCTCCTCAGCAGCAGAGGCGGCAGTCTGCTCTGGACCCCGGAGGGGGACTGGGGCTGAAGCTGCTGATGGGGCTGCTCTAGGAAACAAACTTGGGTTTTTGAGCTGTGCTGTGGGCTGCCTGCCTCGTCAATGGTTTGAGAGTAATTATCCATTGGAGGCTTGGGGAAGTCGAGGGGAAGGTCTGGGCTGGAGACAAGCTTCTGATGGCCTTCAAGAGAGTGCGCTAAGGGGGTGGAGAGAGACAGAGAGCCTAGGGGGAGCTCTGACCCTTGAGTGCTGGCGCTAAGTGCGAGTATCGGGGAAGAGGCCCTGTCCACCAACAAGGCACCTGTGGGGCACAACTTCTTCGGGACCCTGGGCTCCCCGACAGACTCCGCAGCATTGGGGCAGGGTCTTGGGGAATGAGGGAGGCTAAGGCTGGGGCTGCTGACAGCCAGGCAGGAGGGTTCACTGGGCTGGGTGCCGGGTGGCTGGGCAGCATCGGGAGAAGCTTGGGGGCTCACAAAAGGGAGGTTCTGCCCAAGTGGGGCCTTCTGAACCCTCAGATGGGGTGAGGGCACTGCAGGGCTCTGGGGCCGGCAGGGGGTGCTTTCTTCCTGAAGATCTGGGGGCCGAGTTGTTTTCCATGCTTTTCCCTCCGCCTCTCTCTTCTGAACTGTCCCCGGGTCGTGTCCCTTTTCTTGAGACGTGGTGGAGATACCTGAGCCCAGAACTTCAAGGACCACACTGACCTCCTGAGGGCTGGCCTCTGGGGCCTGGAGGTGCAGAGGTGGGGAGGCCAGGTCAGTCTGGATGCCCTCATCCATGGTGGTCTGAGTACAGCCGTCCATCATGAGGGTCTGGGGTGCCTCATCTGGGCTCTCCCTCTTGGTGTTTTGCTGCTTTTCAGCAACACCTGGCTGCGAGAGGCTCCCCAGCAGCTCCGAGGTGCTGTGTAGGAGCTGCGAGAGGTGGACAGACAGGTTGTGCATGCTGGCCCAGGAGGCCAGATCAGACCCCGGCACTGCGCTGGCTTCCAAATGGGCAGAGGCAATGTCCGTGTGGCTCCAGCGGAGACTGCAGCCTAAGGTCTGTGTGCCCTGCTCCAAGGTGTTCATCCTGGACTGTCCCCCAGGGCCGCCCGCCTCTGATGGACACAGCAGCAGCATCTCATCCACTGGGCCTGTAGCACTTCCTTCAGTCCAGGGGGACTCACTCCTCAGAGGGCCTGCTGCAGCAAGGGGGCCCTGGAACTGGGCTCTCTCATCAGGACCCTTAGCGGGGGCTGCTCCATCAGGGCCCTTCAAGATGTGGTGGTTCCCCAAGGCGAGCGAAGAATCCCATACTCCCCAGGCCTCATGTGAACCTCGGGAATTGGCACATGTGCTGAGGTGGTTGTGGAATGGGGAGTTCTGTTCTTCTAGGCCATTGTCCATGCAGGAGCACCCGGCCATTTTTGATGGTACCAGGCCCTGGGGTGACTGGCTACAGGAGACATCGACTGTATTGCCAAACACATACTGCTTCCAGCCAATGGGCGCAGGACCCGCTGGAGGGCAGGGCAGAATGTAGGGATTGATGTCACTGGAGCTAAAGTGCAATGCTCCTCTGTCTGCCTCAGAAAGCCACTTTTCTGGCCTGGCCTGGCCACCCAGGCTCTGTGGCTTTCCCTGCTGGGTCGGTTCCACTGTACCAGACATCCAGCAGGTCATGAAACTGGGGGTCGGCATGCACAAGGGAGTTGAAGGCGTTGGGTAAGGAGGGCTGGCAGGTTGAAGGGGCCTGCGATCAGCAGAGCTACTGTTCACGTTAGATGAGGCTTTCTGATCACAGCCCTCAGCTTCCAGAGATGTCCCCACTGCGGACTTTTCTAAGGAGTGGCCCCTAGGATGTGGGTTCCACAATTTGTTAGGCCCCTGTGTCTCTTCATCTGTGGGGGAAGGAGGTTCCACACTCAAATTCAGCTCCTGAAGAGACCGGGAAGAGCTGATCACAGAGAACTGTGGCTGTGGGGAGGACCTGGAGTGTCTGGGGCCAGAGAAAATGGCAATGACAGGAAGTGAGCGCCTGTGGGGGAGAGCCGGCTGCTCCCTTCCAGAAGAGGGCTGGCCAGGGCTCTGGGCAGCAGGCACCACGGGGTCACTGGCTGAGTCTTTAAAGCCCAGTGAGAACATCTGGGGCACAGAGGCCCTGGCTGCAGCCCCCTCCTCTCCGCCTGCATCTCTCATCTCAAAGCCATCCAAGTCACCTTCGTTGGAACACGGGGGATGCATGCGCTGGGCAGGGCCTTCACCAACGCCCGAAGCCTGCTCTCTCTGCTGCTTTTTCTCCTCCCAGGGACTGCCAGCCTGGGGACGGGAGATGTGCTTTATCTTGGCTGCAAATTTGGCTTGGGGATCCAAGCTACTGTGATCCCTGGACTTGGTGGAAAATTGTGGCTTTTCTGGAAGGCATCTGACAGCATTTTCTAAACATCCATGCTGTGGTTCCACCAGCAGCTCACTCTCAACAGACCCTTCACTTAAATTCAGGGTGTGTTGTCTCCTGGTTGTTGCAGGTAGCTCTGGCTTGGTTTGAGACTCCTGTGCATTCTGGCCACCTACTGAGCTGTCCTGAAACTTCTTCAGTGGCTCAGAGCACGCGCCTTTAGGAAAAGGGGCAGCCTCAAGCTCTGCACGAGCTGTCTTCTTGGCAACCTTTTCCTCAGGATCCCCTGCAGCAACTGAGGGGCTGAGGGAACCTGCCTTCATGTCAGGGGCAGAAGGGGAGCTGCAGCCTTGAGCCAGAGAGAGGGCAGAAGTGGTGGCAGAGGGTTCCAGAGTGCTGCTGTCTGGTGGCCCAAATTTCACATGAATGCCTTTGGGCTCAAGGCCATGTGTCAAGAACACATCAGGGTCACTGGAATAGCTCTCTCCTCTCTCATCCATTCCACAGGCCCTGAAAGATACTCTGCAGGCTGGGTGGAGAGTTTGTGGGGCAGCCTTCCCCAGGCCACCATCTCTGTAACACAGTGAAGTGGAGGAAGGGGAGGGGCAGGCATAAGAAGCAATGGCTTGAGGGTTGCACGGCTGTTGACAAGGAAGAGTTCTGCTGCCTTCCTGCCCCCCAGGTGGGCTGAGAGTCTTTCTGCCTTCAGTGCTCCCTGAGAAGACAACACAGTCTGAAGTTTCCTGTGAAAATCTGCACAGGGCCTCCTCCCTCACTCCCCCAGGATCTGGGCTAGGTCTTTGATCTGGCCATGGAGCCAGCTCCAGGTGTTTGCTGCCAGCCCTGCAGGCTTCTGCCAGCCCAGAACCAACACTCCCCGTCTTCACACACTGCTGTGAGGGAGCTGCCAGCTCAGCTCTTCTCAGGGTTCCAGGCAGGACGCTACTTCGTTTGGGACGTGCCCTTCCTTCTTCTAAGCCATTGGAAGCCTCGAGGACTTGGACATGGTCTTGGTTAGCCCCTGAGAGACTGGCAGAATTCTGAACATTACAGATCACAAGCTGACTTTCAAAACAGGTTGTTTTTCCTCCCTGTGCAGCCACGGTGAAGTTACCTGACTCTCCTCCATATGTGGTGTGTAGAGTTCTAGGTTCTTGGTGTGCCTGGTTGCTCTCCTGACTGCCAGGGGGCATACCCTCTGCCATCTCCCAGGGAACTGACTGGCTCTTCCCATGCTGGCTCACTCCGGGATTGTCAGAAGGTTCCTGAGAAGATAAGGCAGCCCCTACTTTCCCTGCTGTTACCCTCCTGGCTTCCTCTATAGCTGAAGAAAGAAGACTGTCCGGGCCTACAGGATCAGCAGAAATTCTAATTGCTTCTTGCTTTTTCTCCATGATTTCAAATGGGCCAGAATAACATATACACTGCTCATCTGCTCTCAGAAAAGGCCTTAGTTTTCCAGGATAATGGCTTTTGCCTAGAGCAGGGTCAGTGTGGGACGAAGTCTGTGAGGGCTGGCATGGCCCTTTGTTAACTTCAGTGTTGGGCAGAGGCTGAAAGCTGTCTGCAGAGAGGGGTGTGGTCTTAAGGGCTTTCCTCTTATCAGTCCACAGATGGCCTGGTTCAGCAGAGGGAGATGCCACATGAAACCCCTGTGCTTCACCCTCATTTCCAGTCCTGTCTGACACTGGCTGGTCCGTTTGTTGACACTGAGGCCCATCCGGGGCCCTTGAAGAACATGCAGGCTCTAATAAAGTCTCATAGTAAGGACGGACTGTGCCCTCAGTCACCAAGTCATGAAGCTGTGCTCCATGGGCCTCTGTCTCTCTGATTTCCTCCAGCACCGCTAAGCCCGTGGATGTATGTGCAGAGGGCTCAGGGTGTGTCTCCAGGGACACGGCTGCTGAGAAAGTAGCACCGGTAGGACTCAGGTCCTCGGCCGCCGCCTCTGCCTTCTGCCTCACCTCCCTGCACTGGTTGTTACCCTCTTCTAAGGGACAGTTGACCCTCTTTTTAAGTGGGCTAGAGACCCAGTTAAGGGAACTAGCTCTTTCTGCTCCTTTTTGTACAGCCACCTTGGCTTCAGAAGCAGAATCCACGCTGGTACTCAAGCCCATTGAGGTGCTTCTGGGGCCCCCTCCTAGGTCTTGGGGACTGCTGCTTGCTGATCTCCTGCTCTCAGTCCCCAGGGGAATGGTCTCTGGTGCACCAGATTGATCCCAAGATCCCATGGCCATGAAGACTGCAGACCCACAGCAAGCAGTGTGCGCCCTGGAGGACGCCTCTTGCACATTTCCCTGAGGGCTGTGGCTTCTGGGCACTCCACTCTGGCCCTGACATCCTGCTTCAGTTACCCAGAGACTGTTAGGCATTTTCAACACTGTAGGATCCAGCACATAGTCAACTGAAGAGATGCCTATAGTATCAGGCGCATGAAGATAGCTTCTTGGCAGTCTTGGGGAATTCAAGGGCAAGGTGTTACTCAGGTCTCCATGGGGAGCCATAGATGAGTCTGGCTGACTCAGCAATGAGCCTGTCTCCTGGCTGAAAAACGTGCCCATACAGCGTTGGCTTGGACTAAGAAATTTCTGAGTCGATGAGACCATTCTGTATTGCTCATGTAGGTTTCCTCCTCTTTGCATAGTCATTTCTTTAACTCTGCCTTGAACTTTTGGCTTCTCTGGGTAAAAACTACTTATGTGTTTGGGAACGTGGCTCTCCTGACAACCTTTCATAGTCTCCGATTCCTCAAGACTTTCCAAGCCATGGGGCTGCCTTCTGGGCCTTGCTGATGCATGCACCACCTCACTTTCCTCCTCAGAGGGCCACTCGGGCCTGGGCTGGAATGGCACAGCTCTAGCCAATGCTTTCCTTCTCCTTGGATTAACAAAAGTTCTGGTGTACTCACTGTGAGTTGTACATATCCCTAAATAATCACAAGGGTCCCTGGCAGGTCTATCTAATACAGCTGGGGGATTGTGCTCTCTCACAAATTTAATGTCTTGTACCCAGTCTCTTGACTTGAAGGGACTCAGCATGATTTTCTGGTCCTGGGGATCTTCCCCAGTGCTACTGCTAGTTTCCATTTCTCCAGCATCACCATCCCTAAAATCAGTATCATCTGTGTATTCTGGAGAAGACAGGTGGTTTCTAGAGCTGCCTGGCTTAACGACACGATCAGCCATCTCCTTGTCCTGGAACACAAACTCATGACTGACTCCCAGTGTATGGGAAGCATATAGCTGCTTATTCTGCTTGGATTCGATTTCCAAGATACCATTTTCTAGCTGCATGACACTCTTAATTAGCCTAGCCATTTCGTCAGCATTATTAACTCTTTTGTTCTGTTTCTTTCTAGAAGGTGGTTCTTTGGGATTTGACACTTCTTGCAACTTTCCTGGGCCCCTGTGTTCAGTGAGGTTTCTTTCCTGAGAGTGTATAACTGACTGGAACCTTTCTTGTGTAGATTCTGTCCATGGCTGCTTAAACTCTTCTGAGCTGTCTTTGGGTTGGAGAGATTTTCCAGGAAGCCCAGGTTCATTCTTCCATTCCCCTCTGTGGGTCGGACTCCCATCCTGGGCCATTGTCTCTGGGCTCCTTACTCTATGATACGCTGATCTAGACTTCAAAGAGCGAGCAGTGCCCCCCAGCACGTCCTTGTCAAAACCTAAACTGATGGTTTTACAGGTGAGATCAGACCTGGCCCCCAAAGGGGACTGTCTGTCCCTCTCAGAGGCCTGGCTCTGTCTTAGGGCTGCGTTCTGCTCCTGCCCTTCGTCCCCACTTGCTTGAGACTCACAAACAAAAAGCGGCTTCCCAGACCCAGAACTGTCCGAGGAAACAGTGCAACTGGACTGTACTGTGGTCTTTTCTCCCTCGAGTGCCGGAAGACAGTGTTTATTTAAATTTCCAAATTGATTTTCATATTCACATACTTTCGTGCTGGCAGATGTAAGAAAATGTCTGTTCTGAGCAACAAAAAAATATACTGAATTATGGCTTCCAGCGCATTTCCCTATTTCGCCACTAACCTCCGTGGTGTTCAGATCAAGTGGCCTCTCCACTGTGACCTGCTGCAATGAGGCAATCTTGGCATTCTGTTTTTGTAACAGCACCGGCAAATTATTCTTTAAATAAACATTCTGGAGGGCTTGGTAGTCCTGACCAAAGCCCCAGGCCTCCCTGGGGGGTGGGGAAGGCACTCTGGCTTCTCTGCAAGCCGGGATCTCTAAGGCCGTTTCCGTCAGGGCATCCCGGCTTTTGGTCACGTAGAATGTTTCTAAGGGAGGTGGCTGCAGGGAAGACGGGCATGAATTCCAAGGAGCAGAGTGCAGGTACAGCTCTGGGCCTGACGGAAAGGCAAAGGAAAGATTGGCGTGTCTTCCCACCACTTCCTGGGAGCTCTCCTGGCAGTCTGCCTCCTCTTCCTGTTGGGGGAGGTGGCTGTTGTGATTTACTGGCCCTGCCAGGCCTGTACTATTCTTCCTGAGAGGAGCACAACTTTGGGGCCGAGGATCTTCTTTGGTGGCTATGGTGACATTACTGTGACAATGGTTCTTCAGGAAGAAACATTCATCAGAGGAAGTCATCGTTCCAGGCTTCCTCCCGCTACTCTGAGAGGACTCTTCCAAGTGGTTCTGTTTGATTTCACATGCTCCCATCATGGAATTTGCCACCTTGTTCTCTGCTGCAAAGACCTGTGCATTTGTAGCTCCAGAAGTCAATGATTCTATGTCTGCTGAATAATTTCCACTGCAACTCACCTCTTTCTCACTAGTTGTAAAGAAATCTGACGTGCCTTCTAACTCGACACCCAAACTGTCCTGTTCTTTCTCTGCCCTCAAATGCCTAATTTTGGGTATATGGATAGGAAAGTTGTTGAACTTCAAACTGCTAGATAGCCCAGAACCAACTACCAATACAGTATCTGCTCCTCTGCTAGAAACTGGGGTCAGGGAACCAGAGTCTTCCTCGAGGGAGGTGAAAGCTGGCCTGGGTTCTCCTATGGCCTCCGACACAGGATGAGATAGTTCAAGGAGGTACTTTTGCTGAAGGGCAGCCCAGTCCCTCTCACAGGCGCTGCCTACGTAAGTAAATGAGGTGGCAGAGGCAGGCAGCACACTCGATACACTCGAGTTGTTGGATGTTTCAGAGTTACCCTGCTGGGCTGGGTCAGAGACACCTCTGGCCTGAAAGATGCCATCAACTCGAGACTGAAGAAGCCTGTATGACCCCCAGAGGGACAACCTGGATGTATCAGAAGCAGGAATATTGTACACAGCTCTGACACTGCAGGGCAGCTCCGCACCACCAGGGGGCAGTTTGGAAGTATAGGGCAGGACTGCTTCTGTACCCGATGGCTTTAGTTCTTCCATCTTTGGCCAGAATCCAGGCCTCTCCCGACCATTGGGCTGAAATTCCTGGACATCAGGACTTGGACATAAAGAACCCACTATTCCCAGGGGGCTGTTGGGATTGATCTTGGAGTCACAGGAAAACCAGGAATCCATGGACAACAGAGGGCTCCCTCTTGAAAGCGGCATGCTTTGCAGAGTGGTGGCTTGCTCAGAGGACCTCGCCTCCACCTCCGACTCAGGCTGTGCACAGCGGGGCAGGGGCTGGGAATCAAGGTAAAATGAACTGCTCATTGGCAGGATGGCATCTAGCCTGGCTCCTTTTCTGTGGGGGATGGGACCAAGCCTGCACATTGCCTCCTGGCTCACTACGGGCAGCCTGGAGGTCTGCAGGCGCCAAAACGTCTCTGTTGGCATCTCATCGGCTGAACTGAAGAAAGGCTCTTCCTGCTGATCTTCCCCGAGTTCTTCCTCAGCGTCAATCAGGCTATCCAGCGAAAAGCTCCTGTGAGCCTGGGCAAACAGGCCCCTGTCTGAGGATGTGGTGAAGCGCCTCATAGATGCTCTAGCTCTGGCCCTGGGGTCGCCATGGCCATTGGTAAGATAACTGTCCCCTGGGCTGTCCTGTGGACTTTGGTTCCCCTTCTCGGTCAGCGAGTCCTCAGATATTTGGCTGTTGTCACTTTCAGTGTTCTCTGACTCTGGGAGATGCCATTCCCTCCTCGGGGGGTGCCCTGGCTTCCGTGGCTCCGTCGGGGCTTTGGCACAGACACAGGAGAGAGAATCCACTGAGTAACTGCTATCTGCATCCGATAAATCGCCATCTTTTCCTCCTGTGGGATCCTCCACTGGGCCGGCATCTGTGAGTGAGGCCATGGTGTCTGGGCTCCCTGCACTGTGTTGCCTCTTCAAAGGGCTGCCATGAGGCAAATGAGAGGACTTTTTGGTAATGTCTCTGACCTTAGTTGCCAGCACCTTCTTCTGCCCTTTCGATGCCCTATTTGGAGAAGGTGGTTGGGATTCTTTCCAAAAAGTTCTGGCTGCCTTTCCAGGCCCAGCTGCCTGTCTGGGTCCACAGGGATGTGGGCAACTGCAACTGGCTCCGTCAGCAGCCTTATGGGTCTCAAGGTCCCCTTCTTTTTGCCACCCTGCTGGTCCGTGGCCAGAGTCTGACAGTCTCTTAGTCCTCCTGGCCTGGGTGGAAGGCGTGAGGGCCTCTGGCTCATCCCTTGGCTTCAGCATGTTAGCTGGTTGGCCCAGAGAGGCTAAGCTCTGGGATACCACCCAGTGGGGCTGCTGACTCCCGCTCCCCCTCTCCTGGTTGCTGGAAGACATAGAGCTCATGCTGAAGCGGGTGCCTGAGGCCCAGGCTCTCCTCCCGGCCATGGCCGCCCTGGCTGTGCAGAGCTGCCCCTCACCCAAGGAACAGAGGACATTGTTGCTGAAATTCCCTGTCCTTGGAGGATAAGAAGCAGCCTGGGACAAAGACTCTTCTGATTGGGTTTTCTCTGATGTCTGATCAGTAGAGTCGGGTATAGGAGGTAATGTGCTAGAGGGATCCCGATTCAGGAAAACACTGTGGAGACAAGGAAAGCCATCTCAGAAAAGCAAGCAGTCCCTACTTCCTGCTGACAGAGGGACTACAAAGTCCCACTTACTGCACTGCAAGAGGTTAGAAACCAGGCCAATGGCGTGTCCCCTACATTCTTAGGTGTCAGAGGAAAGCTTCGTAGAAACAAAAGGAAACTGTGGACTATAGTCCTAGCTCTCAAAGTGGCCTCAGGTATACTCTGTTCCTCAATATTTTATCTCATAAAAAGGTTGAACTGAATCTGAATCTAATCATGCCTTTGAAGAAAACTTCTACTTAATCAGCAATAGAAGGAACAGAGGAACAATTTAAATAACACTACAAGGAATCAAACGGACAAATCTAAAACATAGTACATTCTAAAGAACTGGCCCACTCTCTTTAACAAATCAATGATATAAAGAAATGAAACGTGCAGGCTAATTTATTAAAAGAAACTTAAAAGACGTAACCACATGCAGTATGTAAAACCTATTTAGATCTTAATTTGAACAACTAACTGTAAAAAGATATTTTTAGGCAATTAGAGAAATTTGAATATGGCCTAGGTGTAGAGTATCCTATATAATAAAGAGGTAATATGCAAATTGACCATCACCCCTCACACATGATGGCCACCCCCATGTGGTCAAAGATGGCCACCACAAGGTGGCCAGCAGGGGAGGGCAGTTGTGGGTGACCAGACTGGCAGGGAAGGGCAGTTTGGGGTGACCAGGCCTGTAGAGGAAGGCAGTTGGGCAGGACCAGGCCTGCAGGGAAGGGCAGTTAGGGGCGACCAGGCCAGCAGGGGAGGGCAGTTGGGGGGGACTGAGCCTGCAGGGGAGGGCAGTTGGGGGCTATCGGGCCATCAGGGGAGCAGTTAGGTGTCGATCAGGCTGGTAGGGGAGTGGTTAGGGGCAATCAGACAGGCAGGCAGGCAAGCGGTTGGGAGCCAGCAGTCACGGGTTGTGAGAGGGATGTCCAACTGCCGGTTTTGCCTGATCCCTGGGATCAGCCTAAACCGGTAGTTGGACATCCCCCGAGGGGTTCCAGATTGGAGAGGGTGCAGACTGGGCTGAGGGACACCCCCGCCACAGTGCACTAATTTCATGCACCGGGCCTCTAATACCTAATAATTTACCTTAATTTTGTTAGGTGTGATACTAACAATGTGGGTATAAGAAAAGTCCTTATGTTTTAGAAGTGTATACCTAACATAGGACTGAAATGGCATGATGTCTAGGAGTTGATTTAAAATACTTCGCCAGAAAAAGGAAGGAGGTTAGATAGAGCAAGCTTGGTAAATCTTGATAATTGCCAAATATAAGTGTTAGGTATTATTCCCCAACTTCGTGTATGCTTAAATTTTTCATAATAAAAGGTTGGTGTGTTTTTTTTAAAGGCTGCCTACTACTCTGAAGACCAGAGATGTGAGCGAATGTACCACCACCACAGACATTAATTGTGTACCTACTATGGGCAAGGACTGTGCTAGGCCCATAGGATATAAAGAGGTAGACACAGTCCCCTGTTCCAAGCATTCTGGGAGATAACATATCCTTACCTTGACTGAATGTAAGGAGTGAAGGAGAAAAGAAACAAGAAGACCCCAAATTGAACCTGGAGTCAGAAAGACAGTGTTCCACTCACTCACCAGTTGGCAGGTGGGGTTGAGAAGCTCACTTGAGGTGGCAGGTCAGGTGGGGAGGGAGGAGGAGGAAATGTGGGGACAGAATCTGGTTTGAGGCAAGATGAGATGGAGGTGAGGCAGGAATACACAAGGAGGTGTAAGTGGATAATCAGAGTCTATAGATAAAAAATAAGGCTCATGTAGATTGCACCAAAGAAACAAGAGCTTCCTCTCAGAGTGGGAGAAGGGAAAAGCCTCAGACTTAGCGGATATCAACTACAGAGAAAGAAGAAGAGGAGCAGAAGAGGAACAGGGTGATGAGGAAGAGATGAGCAAACACATCTTTCCATTTTACAAACTGAGGAAGCTGAGGCTGGCAACAAGGTTGTAAACCTCAGCCAAAGCTTCCAGGGGACAAGTGCTGCCTGTACCTGCGTAGCTGGGGCAAGTACCGGAGGCAGAGCTCTCGGAGGCTCAAAAAGCTGCTACTTGTCGATCTGCTTCTACATTGATGTCCTGGGAAGGCATCAGGGCTGGGGACCTGGTGTGGGGGCTCCTGGGAACCCTCATCCTGAAGCCAGTACAATGCCTTGAGCTGCTCCAGTCTCTTCTGGGTCTCCAGCAGCCTCCGCTTCTTGATGCCTCTCTCGAGCTGGAATGAGACCTTTTTTCGCCTTACGTTCCTCTCTGCTGCCCGAAGAGCTCGTCTCCGCAGGAGCTGAAGTGGCACCGCCCTCTTCTGGCTTCTGACCAGTGGGGACGATTGAGTCTCAGGATATGTCTGAAGCCAAGAATGAGTGGGCACAGAGGCCTCAAGTTCTTTCTCTGCTATATGGTCTTGCTGTTGCTGCTGCTGCAAGCTGGCCAGCCAGGTCTCTTCTCTGAGCAGCCACTGCTGGTCTGGAAACCAAAAACATCCTGAGAGAAGGTTAGCACCTCCCTCCCTGCAGGTGGCTGCCTGGGCTCAGACACCTCCGGCCACGGCTGGACCTGTACAGAGTGAAAGAGCTGGCCAGGGTGGCATCCCCCTACCACCGGGCAAGGGAATGAAGCCCCAGGCCTCAGCACAGTGGGGGGCACGTGGCAGGGTAGGCAGCAGAGCAGAGACAAATGTGCGCATGAGAAAGAGTGAGCAGAGGTTCATTACTCAGGGGCAGTAGGAAGCTGCTTCCTTATTCTTGCTTCCAGCCCCTTGTCAGAACCTCAGGACTGTAAAACAGAGGAGAGAACGCCTAATGCCAAAGATTCCATCGTATCACAAAGAAAACCAAGGCGAGAATACAGAAGGCTGGGGAAGCGTGAAAATGAAGAGGCTGGAAGATGAAGCAGACATTGTGAGCAGCGGGCACCTACCTTCTTTAATCTGCCAGCTGACGGGTGCCTGCTCGAATTCCAGGTCCTGTTTGGCTCTAATCTGCTGCGCTAGGATTCGCTGCCTCGAATCTTGCTGCTGAATCTCGGCCCTTTGAGGCGTCTCTCCAGCCCTGGGTAGCTGTTCCTCGTCACTCTGCTCCCCCAGCACTTTCCTGTCACAGAGGGGCCGGGGTTACCCAGGGAAATGCAAACCCAGTTCAGTCCCAGCAAAGCCTCTCTCAGAGAGCCCTGAATTCAACCGGGCAGAGAGGCTTTGGACTTCTGGCAACGTGGGACTCCCAGGCGTGGTGTCACAGGCAGCTCGTGATGTCACAGTGCAGGATGGAGAACAGTCCTTAGACTAGTATATTCTTAGGTTGTGGGTTTAGCAGAAACACAAATATATTTTGGTTAAGGAAAATAACCAGGAACATAAAGCAGCTTTCACACAAACAAATAAACCAACAACACTCTGGAACATTTTAGCTAAATCAAGAAATTTTGTCCTTAAAAAAAAAAGTTTTCTGCTGGAAACAAAGTGGAGCAGAAGCCCAGAGCCACTGTCGGAATGGAGGGTGTCGCACATGCGCAGACTACAGCGGCCCCTCTGTTCCCGGGAGGAAACCCTAGTCCGGGGAGGGGATGCACACGCACCGCCTGTGAGAGCCAGCGCTGGAGGAGCTCCGAGTGTGAGCCTGTCGTATGCATTTCAGGGACAGATGCAGAAGCGTTTTCTGGTGAAACTGTCCGGGATTTGTTTAGGTCCAGTGAGTGGGTATGTAAATGAAACAAGATTAGCTATGAGTTGATGTTTGTAGTGTATTTGGCATTTTCCAGAATACAAAGTTTAAAAAGAATTCTAGATCAGAGTCATACCACCAGGTTCCTATGTGAACATGGACGAGCGAGAGCCTTCCCCTGAAAACGGACAGCTTCGGCCTGCATGCTAACTCTGCCCAGGTCATACACTGCCTTCTAGAGAGGACCTCGTGTGCTGTTTCTGCAGGGTCACTCCGTCCCTGTCATTCTGAGTAACTGCATGGGCGCTCCAGGTTGGCAGTGAGAAGGGTCAGGATCCTAGAGGCTCACAAAAGCGCCTCACTCCAGCCTCACACAGCGCTCGTGCCAGCCCCAGGGTGCCAGGACCTGACACTGGAACCAGCTCTCAGTCGAGCAGTGTGCTCTAAAGCAGTGGTTCTCAACCTTCCTAACGCCGCGACCCTTTAACACAGTTCCTCATGTTGTGGTGACCCCCAATTTCATTGTTACAAATTGAACATCATTAAAGCATAGTGATTAATCACAGAAACAATATGTAATTATATATGTGTTTTCGAATGGTCTTAGGTGACCTCTGTGAAAGGGTCATTCGACCCCCAAAAGGGTCGCGACCCACGGGTTGAGAACCGCTGCTCTCAAGGCTCACTCTGCTCAGGAGATTTACATTTCATAGGCCAGAATGAAACCACGGAGGCTTTCGAAGCAGAGGGTTATAGCCTGTGAGGCAGGTTGGGTTTTTTGTGAGGGAAGTGTCAGGATCACAGCCGGACCACTCAGATGTATGGTCCAGGCTGCTTCTGCGCCGCCCTGGCAGAGTCTAGTCACTGCAGCAGAGACTGTAAGTCCTATAAAGCCCAAGATACTACCTGGCCCTTAACAGATCATTTGCTGCCTCTCGCTTAGAGGAATTAATATCTCTTAATATAGGTCTAGGAGGACAGTGAAGGATGGGTGTGAGGGAGAGTGACTAGGCGGATGAGAAGTGCATAGTAGAAGCTGACACACCAGCAGTGTCTTCTCTGTGAAGGACGCCGTGAGGTTGCTCGATGTACTACAGGTCCAAGGACTAGGACAGGCCCTGACACTTGAGCAGGTGCACTATGGGGAAGACTGGCACTGCTGCTGTGGGCAAAAGGCCAAATACACAAAGTGGAATGTACATAAAAGAGACAGAAACTCTTCGATGCATGTGAGGCAAAAGGCTAGGGACAGTAATTGGAATAAAAAACCAGTTAATGCCACATGAACAGAAAAAGCAGGAAAACATTTTATACACGTGTCATGCCTGCACTACTGCTCCAAAATCTGTCTGACCACAGAGCTGAATTCCAACATAAGCCCATCTGAGGGTCTCAGACAAACTCAGCTAAGATCCAGACCATCAGATGCCCGGGGCAGGAACGGGATCTTTATTCTGAATTCCCTGAGAGCATTTAGCTTCCTTCTCTGCCATCTCGAACCCTGACTGCAATTTCCTTCTCCCTAGAGGTGCGCTCCCTCTAGCCCTCTTCCTGGAAAGTGGCAGCTGCTAATAACCCAGTAGTTTCCTTCACAGCAGCATCAGGCCTATGAGGCGGGCAGGCTAAGAGGATCACTGCAGACAATGCGTATTCACCCAAGATGCCACCTGCCATCAGGCTGAAAATGGCTCCCCTGCTAAGTACGTCAGCCAAAAAGCAAGTGAAAAAGAAAATACCAACCTTATGCTACATATCTGGGTTGATTACCAAGGACAAGTTTTCAGGTACCTGCCAGCCAAGGACCTCTGTCTCTCTCAGATGACTGCCCTTCATCTTGGGTGGCTCCTGCCTCCCCCAGCTGCTGCCTGGTGCCCTTCTGGCCGCCTTGAGTCTGACAGCTTCTGCAGCAGAATGCAGCAGCGTCTGCTCACTAATGCAGCAGTAGCGGTAGCAGCAATGACAGTGTCTCCCAGGCCCTGGGCACTTAAGGTTAAGTCCCCAAAATTCCAAATGGGAAACTGCAAAGAACAGTTTCAAGGACAAACCCCTCTCTGGTCCAGATCACTGCTGCAAGAGGAAAGGAGGCAGACTGGCAATTTCCCCTGGAGTCAGAGGCTTACAGAGAAAGGCTCCGCAACTCTCTGGAGTCAGCTCTGGCTTTGCAGGCTCCCCACGGGTACTCCTCCAGAGAGAAAGGGGAGGGAAAGAAAGCCTAGGACAAGGAGAGGCTTGGGAGCCAACCCCACCCAAAAGCAGAGGAAAGACTGTCATGGAGATGCAGCCACACACCACTGGGAACCCAGCTGACAACAGGCAGTTTTCTCCACCCTCATGGGTTCTCTCCCCAGTCCCTCTGCCCAATCACAGGCCAGAGCCCCACACACCCAACCTCTACCAGGACTGGCACAGGATGCTGGCTACGGCAGCTGGGCAGGACCAGCTCAGCCCACAGGCTTCTAGAGCTGGTGCTGAAGCGTGGAGGCAGCGAGTGGGAAGCCTTGACTCTCCAATCTCTCTGTCCTCTCTGAATGAAAGGGCGCCTTCTCAGTGTTACTGAAAGGTCATGTCAGTGCCTGTGGAGCTAGAGAGCCCAAGAAAGCCGTAAAAGGACAGGAGACCAGTGTTCTCTGGTCAGCTGGGTGAGATGGGGACAGGAAAGCGAAAGGGAAGCTGCATTCCTGGACAGCTCCCCACAAGAACCTCCCACTAGGGAGCTGTAGCTGTGGGATGTCAGGTACTTGGCAGAGCACTCCACATGTTCTAGCTCTTTCATCCTACTTCAAGGGTCCCTGGGAGAGAGATGGCAGTACCCTTACTTAGAGGAGCAAATAGACTCAGAGACTTGCTGAAGGTCACACAGCTTTTCTGTCATCGCCAGGAAGCGAAGCAACTTTATCCAACCCCATCATCCTCACTCTTTAAGTGGCAGAGCCATTCTCTGTAAGCCTCTGAACTCTGGGAAAAACAGATCTTAGTGCATCTTTCCAACAGAAATCTTACCTAAACAAGGTCTCCTTTCATGGACTCATTACAAAAAGGGAGGGCCACTCTGACTAAGCAAGAGCCTCAGCCTCAGTCCTGAGTCCATCTTGACCTTGATGCACTTGACCCTCTCCCACCTTACCAGTCCCCCCATTGAACCCTCAGTTCCTCCTTAGACTCTGGTGAATCCTTTGGCCCTCAGCAGCCCCGCTGTAAGGATGTGCCTGCTTCACATACCTGCACCAGTGCACTCCCACTCCTGCATCCAACATCCCTCACTACAAGGTCTGACTTAAGACTATCTTCAGCTGCCACTGCATTCACCTGGCCTGAGGAAAGAGCAGCTGGATCCCTGTGAAGGAACCAAGGGACCAAGTGCCATCAGAACCCTTCCAGGAGCCCTGTGCTCACGGGGCTGGACAGCACCTGACACCGGCAGTCTCAAAGGCACCGAATCTCCTGCTGACATTTCTGAAGGAAGTCCCCAAGGCAGCAGCCACTTTGGCTATGGGAACAGAAGGATACCACTGTTCCCAGTGCCAAATCCACAGGTATCTAGATCTGGAAGGAAATTCTATGAAGAAATGGGTGGAAAATGACTATGAAGAAGAAAAGTAGTTGCCACCAATCACACACAAAACTCTGGCTCCATGCTTCAGTTACAGTGCTGGTGAAGTGGATGGGAGAGGGCAGACCCCCAAGATATTTTCACATTGTTTCTGGAGGCCCTGCCCTGCTATGCAGTTCTGGACTCTTGGCAAAGAGAAAAAAACGGAGTCTCAGTCCCACAATGTCTTTAAAAACTCAGAGAAAGCCATAGTCCTGGAAGCTGTGTGACACACCCGCAAGCTCCCACACAGGCAGCGTGGAAGATAAAGAGGTTTACAGGGAGGTAAGTTCGGAAGCTGTATCCAAGCTGCCTACAAACATCACATTTAAATCTTGTTGACAGAGGAAAGTGGGATAGGAAACACATGTCATGCCTTTCAGCGATGAAGAAAGCTGGAGTATCAAAGAGGAAATAAATGAGGGCCAAGACCACTGCCCTGCCAACTGTCAGCCAAGCAGCTAGCTCAGCATCTTCAGATCACATTCCACGTTGGTGCAGACCAGGCTTCACTCCGGCCTTGGCTGCGTACCCTCATCTCCTCCCAGCTCCCTGTTGTAATGGACTGAGGAGAAAAACTCGTAGGTTACACAGAAGAATGAGCAGCTGTTTCTCACCTTTTCTTCCCAAGCAGAGAGCAGAGACCCAACCTGGAGGCAGTGACATCCCCATCCAAGTTCAGCCACTCCAAAGAGCCACTACCACCAACAGCCTCTCCGACCTGGGAACAGGAAGAAAGCACAGCAAGACTGCAGTCATCAACCCTCTCCACCCTCCCAAGAGGACCAAACAAAGCTCAAACTCCTTCCTCAGAAAGGAGAAAGAGGGAGGCCAGCAGCCACACCGAAAGCACAGCATGCTAACCTGCCTTCTCTGCCGAAGGACAGCGGCCTCTGCTGGGTGGTTGAATCGGAATGTCTGTGCTTTCCCCAGGGTTATGACTGCTCCTGTGGCATAGAGGCAGATGAGAATTCAATCAACAGTTCCTGTTCAGTGTATACACTACATGCAGGGCACTGTTCTGGGAGATGAAGGTCCTACCCTCAACAAGTGGATAATTCAGCTGAGCCAATAAATATATATATATTCATTGGATACTGCACAGCACATGCATCAAACTAAGGAGATGAACAGGAAGAGTGTGGTACTCAAAGGAGAAGCAAGATGTGTTCCAGGTGTAGTAGTCAGGGAATACTTCATGGAAGAGGAGCAATGTAAGCTTAGCCTCAAAGGACAGACAGAACTTAAACAGATGAATAATAATAGTAATAGTGACAGTAAAAATGATAATGAGTGGTTACTAAATGCCAAGAACACTGTTAAGAACAACATTACATGAATTAGCTCATTTAATCCTCACACTTCCTGCTATTCAATCCTATTATTATCCCCATTTTACATGAGGAAATTGAAGCTCAGAGACTTTCCCAATGACACAGAGCTAACAAACACAGGGACGAATTTCAGATTTATTCTCCATTCTGGGGCCCAAGAATTAGGGCTTCTTCATGCACGCGAAGAAGACTGTATTAGGAAACCTTCCGATCTCTGGGTGCAGGGACTGCTTCAGTGAGTTCTGAGTCCAGCCCATGAGAATGGAGCTGGTCCGTCACTCATTCTGGCATAAACAGGGCTGCAGACAGTCCTACCTTGGGTCAGACGGCAGGAGGCAGTGACCTCCCGGCCATTGACTAGGCAACGGGCCCCCTGGGCAGGCCGCAGAACGACGACCCCACAGGCGCTGGTGATAGTGCAGTGGTCCCTCTCGATCCATTGACCCTGCAGGACTACAGAAGAGGTGGGGGTCACCTGGGTGGAGGCATGGCCCAGGGGAACACCTCCTCCATTCTTCCCATGAGATCAGAATCCACATCTGGAAGATCTCAAATCACGACAAGAGAGGAAGAGCCATCACCTGAAACCTCTTAGACCTGGATCCTCCCACATGTGGGCCCCCTCCTATCATGTCCCAGCCACAGAGCTGCAGTCCCACAGCCTAGCAGCAAAAGGAGCAGCCCCTTAGGACTTCAAAGATCCTTTCCCCTCAGAGCACCATCGGTTCCTCTGCAGAAACCTGTCAGGTATGAGTACCTGCCACAAAGTGTCAGACCATACGCTCTGTCACTTACCAATATCCTGTTCCTGCTCTGAGTCAATCCTTCCTATTTTTGTTGTCCCCTCCTAAAGGGAAAAACAAAGCCATTTAAATGAGAATAAAAAAGGACACAGCCCTGCCCCGAGAGGAGAGTCCACTTGTTTGAGTGTTATCACTGTCTTCCCACACCCATCCCAGCTTTTCCCACATCACTTCTCAACTTTGGTTCAGGCTGTTCTGACTGCTCTGCCCACTCACTCTGCAGCCAGAATGACCCTGAGAAGGTAGGGGCAAAAAATATGTAACAAAGCAGCACCATATCTTTGCAAAGTCCAACAAGTGTTGGCAAACTCCTATAGCCTGAAGTTAGGGAATAGCCATGGCCATCAGAGATCTTTAGTCTGAGGAAGTGGGCACACAGGTATAGCTTTCTCCCAGGGGCTGAGGATCATGTGGTCCAGTTAGTCTCAGACACACAGGTGAATGGAAGCACAAGATTTTTACCTTCTTGGTCCGCAGATGAAGTTTAACAGACACCAGATTGTAAGAAGGATAAAGCACGAATAGGACAAAAGCACATCTAGAATCAAAAAAAAGGACTGGAAGAGAGTGTAAGAGAGGAGGGGAAACAGGAGTTAGTATAAATGAATCACAAGGTTAGTAGAAGACAAGGCCTTTGGCCTTTGATTCTGACAATTCAGACCACATAGCTTTGTTGAGGAAGGCAGCAAATGGCAAAGAGATGCTGAGTTTAGATACGTATTCGTCGTGCACCGAGTAAACCATTCGCTATGCGCTAGGCACTGCGCTGAGTGCTTTACAGGCATCTCTTATTCAATCCTTTAACCCAAAATGTAGGTATTATCCCGTTCATAGACAAGGAATCTGAAGCTGATGGGGTATAAGCTGCCCAGGGAACCCATAAACTAAGTAGGAGAGCTCTGGCTGGAATTCCGTGCTTTTCCAGCCTCAGCATACCACCGCTCCAGTAGCTGAGGCTTCACTGTTCTCAGCCAGAGGGGTGGTCCCTGCAGCTCCTCCAAAAGAGCTGTGAGAAGGAAGACTCCAGAAGTGACGAATGATGCTCTGCGCCTCCCTCTACATGCACACCCACAAACAGCCAGAGCCCAGACTTTTCTGCTCAGCGACTGAGGATCACACAAGCCAATGGACACTGGCTTCCCAGCACTGCCAAACAGAATCAACAGAAAGAGGTCAAGACCCCTCTTGTGGGCTCAGGGTCACCCTGACGAGGAGGCACATTCCACCTCAATGGATGAAAGCCACAGCACATCACCACTTCTAGACCTGCAGGGCAGTAACAACCAGAAAATGTGATGGCATGTGTTTAACAGGATTGAACCGGTGCCTGTGCTTGCTGCCCCTCTGCCTCCTTACCCAGGGGCCATTAGCAGCACAAAGGCACATATGTGGGGAAGTGTAGGATACCAGTAACCTGTGCTCTATGCATCCTTCCCTGGGCCCCCTTCCACCTGAGGTTCCTCCTGAGGTGGCTCAAGGGAAAACAGCTCCCAGGGCATTGCTAGTGACTAGTCCCAGCTCTGGAACCAAGCCAGCAAAGCAAAAAACAAACAAGAGAGAATCCTGAGTGATTACTATTACATTCCCCAAACCAGGGTGTAAAGAAATGAAAAGGGGAAAATGGGCACATAATATGCAGAAATGCCAGGATTAGCACTCACTGGAACCCCATGCCCTGGCTCACTGGAAACGCACCCGGAGGGAGTGCCACCTGGGTGTGCACATCTCAGCAGGAAAACCAGCACCTCTACGTTCAGACGTGCAGTTGTGTCCTTTGACCCCCAGCTGTACCCCAAGCTCTACCACTTGACTTCCAACTTCATCAGCTCCTTCCACATGCAATCAATATATCAGATCAGTTCTACTCAAATATTGACCATTTTAATCCACCTGGTCTCTTCCAGACTTCCAGTCTCTCCCTGTGGCTCCGACTGAGAAGGATCCATAGCCTTTAGGATTTAGATTCTGCCTGAAGCATTTTCACTGAGATCATCTGCACTCTGTGTATCATAAAATAAGCTACTTTAACTTTGTCTGAGAGGCCCAGTCTCTGACAACTCCCTCAGGGCTTATCCTAAGAACAGACTTTCTGCACACGATGAGCTCTGCTAACATCTCACTACCACGTGCACTGCAGCGTTAGGAGTCTAATTTCTCCAGGGATAACAGCAGCATTACACAAGCCCCATAAACTCTGCTCCTTTTCAATGTCCGCTGGGGACAATTATGAGAATGAGTATTGGATTTTCAGTGAGCACAGGGATTTTGGCCATGTAAAGTATATTTTGTCTTCCATAGAGACTGTCCCACAGCAGGACATTTTTTATGAGGTCAGGATGTAAGACTATCTACCATGGGTCACTGACTCTCAAACTGCTTCATTTAGAAATGAGGACCTTGCCTCTAGGTGACAACGAACCAGGTGAGCAGGGTCCTTTGTCGAAAGCCTTATTCATTGTATTTTCTCTGGGCAGCTGCAAGTCATGCCCTGCCACCACTCCCCTCACCTCTTTAGACTCTCCCTTATGCTTCTCTAAGGTTCAGGTATCTACTTTCTCTCTCCTCTCTTCTTTCCCAAGTAAACCTAGTAATGGAGAATTGGGAGGCACGTTTTACTGATTTGGGGGTTGAGTGACATGGGGAAGTATTGAAAGAAAACTGTTTCAAATCATCTGACTGCCCTGTTAGCCATCTGTGAGCAGCCTGCATTTGCACAGCTCAGGAGCACCAATGGTACTTTAAGGTTAGGATTTCACTTCCTTGCCTGCATTCGTGTGTTTCAGGAAGCCAGAAAAGGAATAAAGCAGCATCGTTCTTATTTTAAAACCAGAGGCCCGGTGCACAAAATTCGTGCACGGGGGGTGGGTGGGGGGGAGGGTAGGGTCCCCTCAGCCCGGCCTGCACCCTCTCGCAGTCTGGGACCCCTCGGGGGAGGTCCGCCTGCCAGCTAAGGCCTGATTCCTCTCACAGTCTGGGGTTCTCACAGTCCAGGACCCGTTGCTTCTTACTGCCCACCTACAGCAGAGGCAGGAGGCTTTTGCCACCACTGCTGCACTTGCCAGCAGTGAGTCCAGCTTCTGGCTGAGCGGCGCTCCCCTGTGGGAACGCACTGACCACCAGGGGGCAGCTCCAGTATTGAGCATCTGCCCCCTGGTGGTCAGTGCGCATCATAGCGACCGGTCGTTCTGCTGGTCGTGATGCCATTTGGTCAATTTGCATATTAGGGTTTTATTATATAGGATGAGGAAATTAAGGTTCAGAGAACAAAAGCAAACTGTATAAAAGCAACAGTAGCAGCAACTACAAAAGAAAACTGATTGTTCTGATTTCCAGTTTTCTGCTCCATTCATACAAAAGCCAAACAGGTCCCAATTGGCTGGCTAACCGTTTCCTGAGGGCAAACCTGAAGTCGGCACTGGGACATCTGTCTCAATTCACAAATGCTTGGCTGCTTCCCCTGGCTTTTCCCTCCTTGACCTCTGGAGCCAGTAGCTCGGGAAGAGGGAATGCACCTGCCTACTCACCTTGAGGTGATAGAGAACGACACCTGTGCTGAGCACATCCTCCTCCAAGGCCATCAGGTGAGGCAGGCTGGAATCGATGACAACCCCAGCCCTCCTTCGGTTGATGTCCACTCTGTAATGCTCCATGAGGGCTTTCCACTCATTCCACTTCTGAGTCCAGTCTCTAGTCAGCTGGTCTATCTGCAGAGACAGAGGAGGTGGTCTCAGAGACTCGGCGCAGGAAGCAGGACTAAAGTTGAGGTGGCATCCTGGTCTGATCCCCCACCCCTCCCCGGGTATTACTTCCTTACTCTCCTCACTGCTACTGTTCAAAGCCCCACAGAGGCCCCTGCACCTCTTCTAGGAAATCTCTGTGTTTACAAGTTTTCTTCAAAAGCAAGTGCTACTTTCATAAATAGAAACTCATTATTTTTAAAGTTTTCTGCCACAGCATGTATTATTGTTATAACTGGGGACAAACAGTATACAGGTGATGTTTTAAATTGATGGAGATAATAGTCAGACATCTATATTCCCCTCTCCCCATCCCCTTCTATGTGAGCCATCCTGGGAGGCTTTTTGTGACCAACACTTCTTTCTCAAGGAGCAGCACCTCCACTTCCAATGTGAGTGTATGCGTGGCTCAAAAACCACAAAGCACAAGAGAAGTCAACTGGCCCGAAACACCACATAGTAATAAAGTAACAACAATAAAATCCTGAGGGCTTATTATGTATTAGGATCAGTTTTAAAAATAAATATACCAAGACTCAGAGGCCTTAACACCTTCTAGAGCAGAGGTCCTCAAACTTTTTAAACAGGGGGCCAGTTCACTGTCCCTCAGGCATTCCACACATGCGCACTGCGGGCCCGGGACGAGTCCGCTGCTAAGCAGGACAGGCAGTGGCGGCAAAAACACCGGGCGGGCCGGATAAATGTTTTCGGCGGGCCGCATGTGGCCCGCGGGCCGTAGTTTGAGGACCCCTGATCTAGAGAATGCAAACAAATAATATTGAATGCAGAGTCCTTTTTCCTTCTTATGGTGGAAATTCATGCCTAGGCAGGCAGCTTATCCTGGAAGTGGAAGAACCGAGGAACCTGAAAAAGACACCGAATTCACCTAAATACTTCTCTCATAAGTGCAATACTTAAGGAAAATAAACTATGCCAAGTTTGCATACTATTTTATGTCCCTACAAAAAATATTTTTAATCCCCGAGTTGAAGTTTGAAAATTACAGGGTAACCAAAGGCTGAGCTGGACTGGGACTTGGCAGAGGTGAACAGCAGGTCGCTCTGGCTTAGTTTGGCCAACCTGGCACCGAACCTGGAGGCACGGCTGAACACGCCCCCCTCTGGCCAGCTCCCTCACCAACTCCTCCACTGCCTAACATCACGGGATAGCCAGCCCGTTGCAGATTCAAGCCCCCTTGAATTCTGCTGGCCTGCATAACGCAAAACTACAAATAAGCCTGGAATGATTTTGACTCTTTATCTCTTATGTATAGAAATACAATATTTTCTGAATTAGGAAACATATGTCCCAGATTAGGACATATGTTTAAACAGAGAATTTCTGAGAAACTTCTGGATTATGATACAGTCCTAAAGTTTAGTTTGGATAATAATATGTTGACATAGCCAGGATACTTTAATAACACATAGGATGATGTAATAGAATACTGGAAATTGAGACATTTGGTTGCAGGATCTAAATAGAACCTGTCATCAAATAATACCTGCCTTTTTTTTTTTTTCCTTTTAAGTGTCTCTGGGAATCACCACTTAATCTAATCACCCAAAATGTTATGTCCGCCCTCACACAGGGTCATGACAGCAATCTCTTTTCTGGTTGTCTCTCTGCTTCCAGGCTTCCCTCCCTTCAATCCATCCTACATACAACTGTCATAGTAATTTTCCTACTATACTTCCTCATTATCACCACCTTGGCTCACACCTCCCAAACTGGCCCTCACCTTAGCTCTCCTAACCTCTACCAGGAGCACCCTCTCCAGACAGCTTAGCCTTCTTCACACTGTGTGCTTCCCCCTGGCCTCCCACATCTGTTCATCCTCCCAGTTCTATGGCTTTGCTTATGTTATCCCTCTCTCACCCCAAATTCCTTACCCCTTCTACCTACCTAACAAACTTTATTAATTCTTCCAGGTCTAGTTCAAGTTCTCTGAGTTCCAGCTCCAGCAATGTAATAGCTGCATTGAAAATCCCAAGCCATCATGGTTTTTTTCCTTCCCTAAGGTCTTTCGTCTAACAGTTACTACATTTAACCACTCTCTAAATGTGTTTCCAACTACACTGCAAGCCACTTGACGGCAGGGATTACTTTGTATCTCTTGCAGCATCATGCAGAGCACCTATTTGGTGCTCAATGAGTACATATTGGTTGGTTGATTTACTAACTGGAAAATAAATTGTATTTTCTAAGCTATTGTCACTATCCAAAGGGAGTTATGAATCTTTAAGAGAAAAAAACAAAGTCAGAAAGCTTGTCACCAGCCCTTCAGACAAACAAATCCCCCATCCAAGGCCCAGTGAAGACAACAATTATCTCTACACCAGACAGAACCTCACTGTGCTGCCGAGGGAACAGCCCGGGCACAGGAATGATGGAGATCAGACCTCCTCCCAGGGTGACGTAAAGCACAACGGGGTCCACCTCACACACCCACCTTCAGTTCGTTCTGGAGAACCAGCTCCTTCAGATTCCCATCCTTCTCACTCAATGAAATGAAGTTTCTCTGCACAGAGAAAGAGTTGTGTTTCATGGTCCCACCCTTACTCTTGTGAGGGGACATCAGATGCAGATAAGGGAAAGACTATAATTAAAATCAGAAATAAATCAGAAGCCTAAGTATTTGGGCTCAGGTTGACACAAAGAAGGTGAATTCAAGGAAATTTTTCTGGAGGGCCCCATTCCCCATATCTACCCACACACAGAATAAGAGCATTCAGGCAAATGCCCTTGGACAACAGAGATGACAGACTACGAGGATGTCCACTCCATCTGAAACTACACAGGGAACCAGAGCAATCCCCATCCTGTTTCTGCACCTTCCTCTGCTCCACAGGTGTTACTTAATTAAGAACACAATGAAGCAGGACTCAGATTCCTGGGGAAGAAAAGGAGCTCTTGAATACACACAAGTTCTGATTGCCTGCATACCAGTTCGAAGCTCAGAAGCACAGCTTTCAGTCTTCTGATCTCTTCCCTGAGTTCTCTGATCAACTTTACGTTTGCATCCTGAAACACAGAGAACTCAGTCACACTGATTGATGTCAGGCCCTGAAAGCTATGAGATGCTTCATGCAATTAACTTGGATGAAGTAGATTACTCCTGGGAAGTACCTTCTGGGGTAGTCTCTTACAATGTGATCCCAGGAGTAAGAACTTGTTAGAAATACAAATTTTGTCCCTACCCAACACCTACTAAATCAGAAATTCTTGAGGGCTGGGGCCCAAGCTGTGGTTTAATAAACCCTCCAGAATCTTCTTATACACACTAAAGTTTGAGAATCACTCTCCTAGAGCAGGAGGTCAGGCAGGTAACACCAATGCCAGGGCATTTCAGATAGTAGGTGCTAATCTTTCTGTATTGTAACTAAACTTAGTACCTGTTTAATTACATTCTTTTTTTTAATCCTCACCTAAAAACAAGTTTTTATTGATTTTAGAGAAAGAGGAAGGAGGACAGAGACATAGGAGGGAGGGAGGGAGGGAGAGAGAGAGAGAGAGAGAGAGAGAGAGAGAGAGAGAGAGAGAGAGAGAGAGAGAGAGAGAGAGAGAGAGAGAGAGAGAACATCGATTAGTTGCTTCCTGTAAGACTGGGGATTGAACCCACAACCTAGATATGTGCCCTGACCAGAATGGAACCTGCAACCTTTTGATGCACTGCAAGATGCTCCAACCAACTGATCCACCTGGCCAGAGCTAATTACAATTACGTTGCCTTTTAAAATAGTCCACAGATGGGCTAGATCTGACTGGACACCAGTTTGTAATCACTGCTATGGAACTTTTCACTGAAATTGCAAAGCAGATAAGGAATTTTTGGAATATTCTCATTACTATTCAGCTTTCAAAACTAATGAATTTATTATGTGCCTATTTTAGCCTGAAACAGAGACATAACTACCATTTGCATGCATCAACATATAAGCATGTACTAGTATTAACATAAACTCGGAATAAAATTAGTAAATAAATAAATAAGAAAATAATCTTTCTTATAGTGGCACTGGTACACCATGGATGTTAAGAATGGTCTTAGGGAAATATCTAAAATAAATTATTCACAAAAGGTTATAAATGAAGTCAGTAGAGATATGAGAGAAGGGTGTTAACACTAGAAAAAAGAATTTCACTTCCTTATCACTCAGAGAACAAGTTTGGCAAGAGGAGAGATAGAGAGAAATACTTAAAAAGAATGACATCACACTGCTAAACTTGACTGGCTTAAAAAAAAAATGACATCAGCAAGGGGAATAACAAAAGGAGACTGTTATGTAAAGTATTAGAGGCCCGGTGCACGGATTCATGCACCAGTGGCGTCCCTATACCTGGCCTGCATCCTCTCACAATCCAGGACCCCTCAGGGGATGTATGAGAGCTGGTTTCGGCCCGATCCCCACAGGCCAGTCCAAGGGACCCCACCGGTGCACGATCGGAGCTGGGGAGGAACCACAGGAGGGTTCCAGGGCGTGTCCAGCCCGTCTCGCCCAGTCCCAATTGAGGTCGATTGGGGCCAGCTAGCTGGGAGGGACCATGAGAGGTTGGCCAGCCAGGGAGAGACTGCGGGAGGCCTCCAGGGCATGTCCGGCCTGTCTTGCCCAGTCCTGATAGGCCGGACCCCAGAAGCACGCTAACCTACTGGTCGGAGTGTCTGCCCTCTAGTGGTCAGTGCATTTCATAGCGACTGGTTGAATGGTCAAACGGTCGGACACTTAGCATATTAGGCTTTTATTATATAGGATAACAGACCAGGACTTCAGATGACGGTCTCACCTCATTCACCCGTGGCTTGTTGATGATGTTCTTGGCATTGGATGCATATCTCAGTGTGCTCATGGTTTCACTGTAGCTACTGTGTGCAGGAGACACAGCTAAGGTACAAGAAAGTTTAAAATCATGCCGAGCCCTCTGACCCAGCCCATAACCACTTGCCTTGCTGTTACTGTCCATCTGTGTAAGAGACCCTTGATGAAATGGGTGGTCATGGCCCTTTCTCTGAGGCACAGTACCAGTCCTAACCCAGAACCAGCCCCAGCTTCCTACTCACTGGCAACCATGATGGTTCTGGAGTTGCCTCCAAGGCTGTCCTTCAGCAGCCAGGTCAACACGGAGTCCCGGTATGGGATATAGGACTGCCTCCGAGAGGGTCCTCCTCCAATGCTGGTCCCAGAAGAGCTGGAAATCCCACTGTCACCGCCATTTCTGGTTACACTGCTAAGGCTCTGGCAGCTGCTGAATACTTGAGAGTTCTGGGCTTAAAATACAAAAAATAATAAAATAGGAAGAAAAAAGAAATCCTGAAACAAATGCATTAAAAGAAAACAACACCTAGGGAGCACTTCCTAATCCCTTTCTGCATACAAGAAGATGCTTTAAGTTCGAGTTCTAAACAAGACTTTGGATTCATGACATGCACTATTTGAGTTACACAATTTTTTAGTCTCTCTTCTTTCTAAAATGAGAGTACAGAGATAATGGCCAACTTGTATTCTAAAACAACAGATAAATATCTATTTTTATGCCCCAAACCAGAAGGTAACTATATCAAAAAGAACCTTGTATCTGCCCCATTTTGACAAAATGAAAATACATGAGTTATTCCCCAAAGTCTCCCTCCCACTCTGATGATCCAGTCTATCAGCCAAATACCTAAGGTGGAGATGACAATTCCCAGAGTCACGAGAGACTTGTTGATATTGGCTCCTTCAGTGATCCGGTCCTTACAGTAACTGGGGTCTGCTCTTTCACTAAAGCAGCCAATGAAAACAAAAACAAAGCATACAAGACAACAATATCCTTACAATATTGCTGAAGATACTATTCATTATGTTGTACATCACATAAAAGACCCACATAATAAATTCCTTTTAGAATTCAATTCCAGAAAAAAAGTTACCATCTTGTAATGAACTAGTATTCTTCTGTTTCTCAGGCATTAAAAATCAAATAATTCATTATATTTCTGTTTTTATTTTGGTTGCCAAAGTACTTACAGCTACATGCAATACTCATAATAATTATATTGGCACTAGAGGCCCAGTACAGGAATTTGTGCACAGGTGGGGTCCAGCCAGTCTGCCCCAATCAGGGCTGATTGGGGGCAGAGCCGGCTGGAGGGAGGGGCCACAGGCAGTTGGTGGGCCAGCCCCACCCCTGATCAGGATGGGGCGGCCAATCAGGGGCAGGGCTAGCCAGGGGGAGGGGCCACGGGAGGTTGGCCAGCTGGCCCCGCCCCTGCTCAAACTCCCCATTGAGGAAACAATTTGCATATTAACCTTTTATTATATAGGCCTAGCGCCCCAGTGTACAAATTCATGCACTGGTAGGGTCCAGCTAGCCCCAATTGGTGGATTGGGGCTGGGCCTGTCAGGAGGAGAAGACAGCGGGAGATGAGCCGGCTGGCCTGCCCCAATCAGTGCCCGATCAGGGCCAGGCTGACTGGGGGCAGGGGCCAGCTGGGGTGGGGGGGCCTTTTGGGGTGGGGCCAGCTGTGGGGAGTGACTGTGGGCAGGGGGCCGGCCAGGCCCGTCCCCGAATGGGGCTGGGGGGAGGGGTCAGGGGAGGTTGCTAGCCAGCCCCACCCCTGATTGGTGTGGGGGGGCAATCAGGGGTGGAGCTGGCTGGGGGGAGGACTGCAGGCTGATCGGGGTGGTGGGGGCTGACTGGGGGTGGGGCCGGCCATGGGGAGGGGCTGTGGATGGTGGGCTGGTCGGCCCCACCTCCAAAAGGGATGGGGGTGGCCAATCAGAAGCCAGCAGCCTGGGGGAAGAGCCATGGGTGGTTGACTGGCCGGTCCTGCCCCTGATCAGAGTTGGGGGGCTGATCAGGGGCAGAACTGGATGGGGGAGGGACTGCAGGATGTTGACCAATGGCCCCGCCCCTATTGGGGTAGGGGGGCGATCAGGGGCAGGGCCTACTGTGGGGAGGGGCTGAGGGCCGATCAGGGTGGGGCGGGCCGATTGGGGGCAAGGCCAGTCAGGGGGAAGGGCCACAGGGGGTTGGCCGGCCGCCTGGCCCTTGATCGGGGTGGGAGAGGCCAATGAGGGGCGGGGAGGCAGGGGAGGAGCCATGGGATATTGGCTGGCCGGCCCCACCCCAGATCGGGCTGGTTCGCTGGCCGCAGTGGGTGTCATAGTGACCAGTCGTTACAGTGTTACGGTCGCTGGCTTCATATATATAGATAGATAGATAGCGTTTGGTATAGTCACTTCCCCTCTGCCTTTATTGTTTTACTAGAGGCCTGTTGCACAAAGAGATTTGTGCAATAGGCCTTCCTTTCCCCTGGCTGCTGGCACTGGTTTTCCTCCAGCACCCAGGCCTTTGCTCTGGCCGAGCTCCAGCCGGAGCCAGCTCTGGAGCTGTGAGGCTTCACTGCTCCACCCCTGGGACGTCAGGCTTTGCTCCACCGCTTGGAGCCTACGTATGCAAATTAGCCACCATCTTTGTTAATTTGCATACTCTCATTATTGGCTGGTTAGCATAGCAAAGGTGCAGTCAATTTACATGTTTGTCTATTAGGTAAGATTTCACACATTAATGGCTTTATGGTATCTGTGTCATTACTGTCAACTGTCTCAAATTCCTTCTTTAAATAAATGGGCAATAGTCAAAATTTATACTTCTGATTAATTGGTATAGTTCATTCCAGATAGCACTTAGTTGTTTTTGGGTTTTTTTGCACTTAGTTTTTAAGGGAATGCTGTACCATATTAATTATTTAGCAGTTTTAAAATAAGAAAATTTCCTTATTTCATCTTACTTTTCTGTGACCACATTGTCCCCAAGACTTTCTTTCTGGACATGTGACTATAATTCATGCTTCATTCTAATACTTAAAAGACAGTGTCTTTTCCCCAATGCCACAATATTAAAAAATAAAACAAAACTTTTTTTAGTAATGTAGAGAGATGCACAAAATCAAAACTAAGTCAAAGGGAAAAAAGTATGCTTTTTAGAGCAGCAGTTTTCAATTCTGGCTAGCACTGAGTGCTTTAAAAACTACCAATGCTTGAACTCCCCTGACCCCTCTAATATCCTGATTTATTTGGTCTAAGGTGCAGCCCAGGCATTGGGAATTTTAAAAGGTCCCAGGTGATTTTAATGGACAACTAGGATTGAGATCCCCCGACACAGAACTTTTCAGTTCCTAGAAGCTATAATTTCTTAACCTAGTATTCAAAGAATATGTTTCTTTTGTAATTTCCTCAGGATTATTGAAATATGAAAAAGGTTAGAACAAGATTATTCCCTTAAAAAATGAGCAAGAATAAGGTCATTGCCAAGGGAGTAATTCCCCCTTGGCTTTGAAATCTAATTACCTGCCTGCTAGGTCCACAAGGTTGATCTTGCTAGCGACTTCAGAGGGGAGGTTATTCTCCAGGACCGCCTAAGGCAGAAAACACATTTAAACTTTGTCATTTGGAACAATGCGTTTTTTTTCCTCTTAGACACCCTCCTAGCCAAGGTGATATTTTGGGTTTTTAGCCAACTTATTCCAAAAAATCTATATTCAAATATGCCAGATGAGATCTCAATATCTGATAGATACAATCAGTAAGCTCTGGGTCCTTACTTCACTGAAAATATAAGCAAGACTTCTACTGAAAACACTGGGCAAATCCCCCAAAAGTCCTCAGAACACAATGTTCAGGGACACCAAGAATTTTAGTACAGTTTACCAGGCAAATGCTCAGCTCTCCTCCAGGGCTCCCACTCTCACAGCAGGCTGGGCCCCTGCTGGAGGTTTGGTTTGTCTCTCTTGTTAACCTGAGTCACATCAGGTTAACTGGCCACAGCAGCGACTTTCCACCTTTCTCATCTCATGGCACACAAACTAATTACTAAAATTATGTGGCACACCAAAAAATGCATTATTTGCTGATCTCACAAAAAATTAGGTATAATTTTGATCCTTCACACTGCGTGGCTATTGTGTCAGCTGTACTCATTTTTCTTATTTGACATTCTAAGGGAAAAAAGGTCAGCACCCCTGACTAAATAGTCAGGTATTGCATGTTTTAAAACTTTGCAGCACACCAGTGTGCTGCAGAACACGGGTTGGAAATCGATGGTCTAGGGCAGTGGTCAGCAAACTGTGGCCCCTTGAGTGTGGCTCTTCCACAAAATACCACGTGCGGGCGCGCACGTACAGTGCGATTGAAACTTCGTGGCCACATTCAAGGGGCCAAAGAGCCGCAGTTTGCCGACCACTGGGGCAAAGCACTCTGCATCTTTTTATTATATTCAGGGGCATCCAGCCCTCAAGAGCAAAAGTACTTTTCCCTATTTTTCCCTCTTTAATTCAATGTTTTTTGTTGTTTTGTTTTAATGTTGTACATCCATCACCAAAAATCCAGCTTTAAAATATTTCCCAGTTTTCCTCAAGTGTGTTTGCAGTCAGTCTCCATTCCCATCCCCAGCCCTAGGCAACCACGCACCAACTTTCTGTTTTTATAAATTCGTCTTCTCAGGATATTTCATATAAATAGAATCATACACTATATGGCTTCTTTCACTGCATAATTATCTCAAGATTCATACATTTTGAGGTGTATATCAGTAGTTCATTCATTTTTATTGCTGAGTAGTATTCCATTGCATGGTTTATCCATTCACCTCTTGATGGACATTTGGGTTGTTTTCAGTTTTGAACAATTACAAATAAATTTTATAATTTATTACAAGATAGATTTTATACAAGTACAAATATTAATATTTGTTTACAAGTCTTTGTATGGACAATTTTTGGTCTTGGGAAAAATACCTAGGAGTGGATCACATGGTAGGCATACGTTAAATTTTTAAAGAAACTGTTTTTAAAAGTTACTGTACCACTTTCCATTCCCACCAGTAGTTAGTGTATGAGAACTCCAGTTCCTATACATCTTGCCACTATTTAGAATAATCACTGTTTTTAATTTTAGCCATTTTATCTAATAGATTTTTAAAAATTGATTTCAGAGAGGAAAGGAGAGGGAGAGAGATAGAAATGACAAGAGAGAATCATTGATCGGCTGATCCCTCACTGAGGATAGAGCCCACAACCTGGGCATGTGCCCTTGACAGGAATCGAACCTGGGACCCTTCAGTCCACAGGCCGACGCTCTATCCACTGAGCCAAACCGGCTAGGACTAATTTTAGCCATTCTAAAAGGTGAGTAGTGATATATTATTTGGTTTCAATTTGCATCCTATAATAATTAATGATGTTGGGCATCTTTTCAAGTGCTTAATTGCCATCTGTATATTTTCTTTAATGAAATGTTGGCTCCAAATTTTTACCACTGATTTGAGTTGTTTTATTAAGTTTGGAGAGTTCTTTATATATTCTGAATACAAATACTTTATCATATATGTATGTTTTACAAATTCTCCCAATCTGTGGCTTTTCTTTTTATTCTCTAATAGTGTCTTTCAAAGAGTAGGTTTAAAATTTTGACCAATTCCAAATTTCCATTTGTTCTTTTGTTCAATTTGTATTGTTAGTGTCATAACTAAAAACTTCACCTAATCAAAGATCACAAAAGTTCTCCCATGTTATCTTCCACAAGAGTAATATTTTCAGGTTTTACATTTATGTCTATTATCCAGTTTGAATTAATTTTTAGATAAAGTACAAGGTATAGATCAAAGTTGTCTTCCTTTGTTTTTATTTTTTTAACATATGGATATCCAATTGTCCTACCACTATTTGTTGAAAAGACTAGACATTCTCTATTGAATTGCCTTTGCCACTTGGTTAAAAAATCAGTTGCCTATATATGCGTATAGATGTTAAGTGCAGTATTCTTTAAATGTAAGGTCACATTGGTTGAGAATGTTGCTCAAATCTATATTCTTGCAAATTCCTGTCTAGTTGTTGCTACCAATTATTGAAAGTGGGGCACTGAAATCTCCAATTACTGTTACTGAATTGCCTATTTTTCTTTTCAATTCTGTCAATTTTAGAGCACATACATTTAAAATTGTTGTATCTTCTTGATGAAATGCCTGTCTCTAGTATTTGTCTTAAACTCTTCTCTTTTTTTTTTGTCTGACACTATTATAGTACTCTAACTCTCCTATAGTTACTATTTATGTGGTGTAACTTTTTCCATCTCATTACTTTCAACCTATCCCTTTTAATCTAAGGAGTGTTTCTTATAGACAGCATATAGTTGGGTCTTGCTTTTACCTAGTTTGATAATTTGTATCCTCATCCATTCACACTTAATGTAATTATTGATGTGTTCAGAAGTATAATTGTTGTTTTTCTATTTATTTTCATGATGACAATGTATACATATGATAAAAAACAATAAAGCATTATATTATTGTTTTATATAAAATTTTATTCTTTTAATGACATTAGAGGAAATGAGAAAGAATATATCACTCTATTTTAGCCTGGAAGATTTCCTTTAGTGTAAGATAGGCTGCTAGCAAGAATTCTGGGTGGGTTTTTTGTTTTTGTTTTTGTTGTGTGTGTGTGTGTGTGTGTGTGTGTGTGTGTGTGTGTGTTTTCAATGTCGGAATGTCCTTATTTCATCTTCACTTCTGAAAGCTAGTTTTGCTTGCATATATAAATCTTGGTTAACAGTTTTATTTTTTTACCACTGTTTTCTGGTGTCCAATACTTCTGATGATAAGTCAGCCATTAATCATGTAATTGTTCTGTACATAACAAGTCGTTTTCCTCTAGCTGATTTTGTTTCTCTTCCTCATTCAACAGTTTCACTATGAGGTGTCTGGGTATGGCTCTCTTTGTGTTTATTTTATTTGGCATTCTTAAGCATCTTAGATATGTAGATTAATGATTTTGAACAAATCTGGGGAATTTTCTTGGCCATTATTTTTCACAATTTTCTTATGACTATTCTCTTTTCTCTCTTTCTGGAATTCCCATTACATTTATGTTGGCAGACTTGATTTTGTTCCACAGGTCTGAGTGACTCTGTTCATTTTTCTTCAATTTGCATTTGTCTTCTTCAAAAATAATTCTTCTGCCATCTCAAATCTGCTATTGAGTTCCATTAGTGAATTTTTCATTTCAATTATTGTACATTTTGATTCCAGAATTCCCATTAAAAAAATTTTTATATCATTTTAGTGAAATTTCTTACAGCCATTGTCATCATGCTTTTCTTTAAATCTTAAAATGGTTTGCTTCAGTTCTTTAAATATATTTTTATTACCTGCTTTGGAGCCACTGTATACTAAATCCAGTATCTGGAGCACTTAGAGCCAGTTTTTATTGACTGTTTGTTTTTTTTTCTTAATCATGGGTCACACTTTCTTATTTGTGTTCCATGTCTAATCATTTTTGGTTGAATACTAGATATTTTAGATAATATATTGTAACACCACTTTATTCTGATTTTTTTCCTACTTAGGGTGGTAGAGTGGTTGTTTTGTTTGGTAACTTGCCTGGAATAAATCTTTAAAATCTGTCTCCCCTAATATGCAGACAAAGCAGTCTTAGTAGGTTTTTCCCATGGTTATTTTCAAGTTTAAGCTTGGCTTCTTAGGAGCCACCCTTGTATCTACATAGCTTAGTATTTAGGCAAAGATTGGTCAGAAGTTGTCATCAAATACCTTGAGCCAAAAAGACTTCTACTCTCTGTTGACGGATCTATGTGGGCTAGGGAATAAATTAAAAGGTCAGGCAGTTTTTAAGTTTACCCCAGCATTCACTAGTCACAGGGCCCTCTGAGTCTCCTCTGCATGTATGTGCAGATGCTGCCAGTCAGGGCTGTGTGGCTGGCTTGAGCCTATTTAGTCTCTGCTGTGTATGTGCACAGGATATGTGTGGATCTCATCACAGCCCCTATGGCTGTATCATCTCTCAGAATCCCTGTTAAATCCCGTTAGCCTGCCAGTTCATTCTTGCCTGAAACAGAACCACAATCTGAGACTAATGGAGCCACTGGCCCTCCTTATTCACTTACCACTGAGATCACCACTTTAACTGACAATGCCCCAAATCAACACCTCTGGTACCAGCAGCAACAAAACTGCTGGTTTTCACAACCTTCCCTCCCCTGATTGAACTGCCTTATTAACAGAGATAGGGATGGGAGCAGCCCAAGAAAGTCCACTATACTTGAGTACACTAAACAGCTCATATGTACAGTGTACATTCAATAGTTTTCTTGAATTTATGCTTCTCAGTTTATCATATGTCTGTGATCTATTTTTAGAATAGAGAAATAGTTACTTTTGACAGTTTTGTCCAGCTTTATGGTTGCTTTTTGGGGATAGGGTTTATTGACCTCCTCATTCCATCATAATAGAAGTGAATCTTCTGTTCTTTCATTTTAACGGTTATTTTTATTTCAATCTTGCTATTTGCTTTAAATGCTCATACTGATCACAGATATGAAAGTTCTTTGAAATGTTAAAAGTAAAAATAAGTAGAAGATATTTTAATTAGTCTTATTAAATGCCTCTACCCTTTCTAGGTGCACAGCTTACTAGACCTGTAAATGGAAGAAGTCAAAAGGGACTAGGAGAGGAAGAAATCTAACCAGATATAAGAGGAAACCAACCTGTGTGTAGTGGATAGTGAAGATGGCATGGGATCTGCTGCTGGCCTCATGAACATGGGTAGCTGCTGTGATTCTACGTATACAAGGCAAGACAATTAGGACGAGGATTGTTTATGTCTGGTGAATCCTTGAGGATCCATGGGGAACACAAGAAATGCTAGTGTTGAGGCTTACAGATGAGAATCATAAAACATCCATATTTAGTCCAGTATATTTAGGAGATGGTCCAATGAAGGCAGAAGCAGTATTCTAGGAACTGATATCGGAGAATAAAAGGGAATGTATCTTCATGCTAAACTACATTAGAACTTTGTTTTTAAGCAACAGAAACAAAAATCACAGTTGAAAAGGGGAATACTAAAGAGTAGTATTGGAAGAATATCCCCAAGAACCCATTAAATAAAGACAAGGGGAGGTAAAGAACTTGCTGGAGAAGAAACCTCAAAGACAGAGAATGTTGTGATTAAACAAAGAATATTAATCTTATAGTGCCAGAAAGACCTTTAAAAGTAGATCTTGAATTACAGTGCAGAAAGACAAATACTGCTTAAGCCAGATAGAATTCAGTCTCCCTCATAAATTCATTCCAGCCCTAGCCAGTTTGGCTCAGTGGATAGAGTGTTGGCCTGTGGACTGAAGGGTCCTGGGTTCAATTCCAGTCAAGGGCACATGCCCAGGTTGTGGGCTCAATCCCCAGTAGGGGGAGTGCAGGAGGCAGCTGATACATGATTCTCTTTCATCATTGATGTTTCTATCTCTCTTTCCCTCTCCCTTCCTCTCTGAAATCAATAAAAATATTTTTTAAAAAAATAAATAAATAAATTCATTCCAATGTTACGTCAGGAAAGCCTTCCCTTTACCTAAATCTAAGTCAATCATTCTTCAGTTTAAGACCATCTCATTACAAGTGAGAAGAGCACTAAATCTGAAGTCACTGCACCTTACCGTGGGTACATTACTGTGGTGAGAAAGGCCTCCTGAATAGGAGCTGGGAGCTGCAGAGGTAGATATCATCATACATGCCAAAGGGGGATGAGAACACAGGACTGAAGGATGAGGCTCAAAAGAATGATAGGAACAAACAAATGTGTTACCTGTTTGCTATTCCCTCCTCCAAGAGTTGAATTACTTGCTTATAGTTGGTAACTACATGTTGAGATAAACCTATCAGATTTGTGAAGGAGAAAAAAATTAAATAACATTTTTGGTAAAGTTTAACCTTTCCCTCTAGTTCTTGAACTTTATCATTTCTACTTTATTTTTTTCTACTTTATATTATTGAATAGACATGAGAGAACTTTCTAAATCATTCAAATAATAAATTAAATCAAATATTTATTGGAAGCCTACTGTTAAGTATTGTGATAGGCTCTGGAAACATAGGTCTCTGCCCTCACAGAGATTATAATCTAAGACTAATTCATATAGCAGTTACGTCAACAACAACCAATCAATAACAATAAAATCCCTTACAATTCTGCTATGTAGGTTACAAAAAAAGTTTCATATAATACTTCATTTGGTCTTCATTAAATTCCTGAAGTGTACAGGTACTATCTCCCCACAATATAACAGACTCAGTTTGACATACAGTAGATGTGTCCCTATCTTCCCGCAGTTTACAGTCATGAGTAGTTATACTATACATGACAATCTGGCCAAGTGTCACAGGAGTAGGATAATCAATGCTCAGGAAATCAGAGAAGTGGTCAGGGCGGGCTCCATGGAGGAAGTAAGACTTGACTTTGGCCACTGTAGAATGGGGAAGATTTAGATAGGTGGAAAGTTGAAGACATGAAAGTAAATTTTTATGACTGATTACTTAGCAAATCAAAAAGGGCCATCATAACTGTGCTAGTGAATCTCTATATCAGAGACTCAGGAGCAAAGTAACTACATAGGCTCATTGCTAAATACAGTTACTCTAAATGTTAGCACACTAATTTGAACACTGACTAACGTTTTTTAGTAAAGAATTGTTATTATTACCAAACCGGTTTGGCTCAGTGGATAGAGCGTCGGCCTGCGGACTGAAAGGTCCCAGGTTCGATTCCGGTCAAGGGCATGTACCTTGGTTGCAGGCACATCCCCAGTAGGAGGTATGCAGGAGGCAGCTGGTTGATGTTTCTCTCTCATCGATGTTTCTAACTCTCTAACCCTCTCCCTTCCTCTCTGTAAAAAATCAATAAGAAAAATATTTTTTTAAAAAAGAATTGTTATTATTTAGATGTGATACTAGTTTTGTCGTTATGCTTTCTTAAAGAAAATATTCCTAGAGGGGATAAATGGTGATGGAAAAAATAAAAAGGAAGAAAGAAAACATTCCTACATTAACTCAAAGAGATATCTGCACCTCCATGTTCATAGCAGCATTATTCACAATAGCCAAGACATGGAAACAACCAAAGTGTCCATCAAATGAATGAATGGGTAAATTAAGTTGCAAGATATAGATATATATAGATATAGGTACATATATATATGATGTATACATATATATACAATGTATACATACACACACACACACACACACACACACACACACAGAATGGAATATTACTCAGCCATTAAAAAACAGTATGGGTGGACCTTCAGGGCATTATGCTAACTGAAGTAAGTCTGACAAAGAAAGACAAATACTGTATGAGCTCACTTATATGTAAATTCTAAAAAAACCACCAAGCTCATAGAAAGAGATTAGATGTGTGGTTACCAGAGGTGGGGGTAGAGGGGAGAGAGAACTGAAGGAAGGTAGACAAAAGGTACAAACTTCCAGTTATAATTAAGTACTAGGGAAGTAATAATGTACAACATGATGACTACAGCTCACATTACTGCGATATATAGGATGTCCCCAAAAATGTATACACACACTTGGGATAATTATAAAGGCAGGTTTTCTTACAATATATTTCATTTTCAAAACTGAGCTACCAGCTGTTAAAGTGTGCAGAGATTTTTGGGGGCACCCTGTATATGAAATTGTTATGTGAGTAACTCCGAACGGTGCTCATCAGAGGGAGAAGTTTTTTTCTTTTTATTGTATTTATATGAGATGATGGATGTTAACTTTTTATGGTAATCATTTCACAATATGAGTAAGTCAAACCATTATGCTGTAAACCTTAAATTTATATAGTAATGTACATCAATTATATCTCAATAAAACTGGGGGGAAATTTTTTAAAAAGAAGGTCCTGAAACAAACAAAAGAGCTGGATGAAATATAAAAAAAACATCAACTTGAAGGAAGGAAGGGATAAGCAGATAGTAAAAATTGTACAGGCCATATACATGGGAAAGATGAAAGCTCAGTAAGATAAGGCCAGCATCTGGGACAAAGGAAACTCCAACTGGCTCCCAACAAAGGAAGTGGTATTTTTTGTTGTTTTCAGTCTGTCATTTATGATGGAAAGTTTGGGGAAAGATACAGGTAGCAGAATCATGACTGGCACACCTACTGAGTCATCCACTAGCCAAGCCCTGTTCAGAGAGAGACCAACTCTTGATCTTTCATGTCCCTCACCTTGTCAGGATTTAAATGAGTATACTGCTGAGGCAAGAAGAGCATAAAATACACATGTTACTTCTTATGCGTGGCCTGAAAGAGTAAAAGCTTCTTCCACAGAAGAACTCAACTGTTCCTACTTAATAGTAAGACTAAACCTAATGGAATAAGACACGTGGTACCAAACACCAAATATCATGCGTGATGAGGAAGCAGCTCAGACCCTGCCCTGTGCCTGATATCTCCCCATCTCCCTACCACCGCCAATGGAAGAGAAAGTACCCTGAAAAGAAGACTAACCGGCCCAGGAACCAGCCAGGCCATGCTAGATCTGACACCGCAGACCTCACCTTTCCCCATACCACTTACCCACATCACTACATCCATTTATTTTTTCATTAGCCTTCATCACAGCTTGTAATTAAGTGCTGTTTTCAGATTCATGCCCACAGAAGTATAAGCTTGCCTACGAGAAGAGGACTTTCTTTTCTATGTATCAGTACATACCCTGCATCTAGTCCAGTAGCTGTTCAGAGTAAGTAATCATTATACAACTGTTGACTGAATGAATGACCATTAGGAGGGTTTCCCTCGCTCTGGTTTGGTCTCAGACCTCTAGGACCACAGTGGCTCACCTTCAACATAGGGCCCCATCTCTGGGTGCTCCCTGACCCGCAGGGTATAGGATTTTTTTTGATCAGATGGCTTCAACAGATCCCTCACTCGTTCGTTATAGATTTCCAGAAAACTAGAGACATGAGGAAAAAGGCACATAGTTAGATTTTGAAAGATGGTAACATGTTCTCAAAATTAAACTTTGAGGCCCTGGCAGGGTAGCTCAGTTGGTTATAATCAATACACCAAGATTTCAGGTTCAATCCTTGGTCAGGGCACATACAAGAATCAACCAATGAGTACATACATAAGTGGAACAACAAATAGATTCTCTGTCTAATCAGTAAATAAAAAAATTTTAATTAAATTTTGGAGGAAAGCAACATGATTAGATTTTCAAATAAGTGGGAAAAAAACACCAAACCAACAATCAGAAGATCCTAGCTCTTGTTCTAGTTCCATCCTTGACCCTCTAAGACCTTGATCACACCAGGTTCCCCCGTGAGTCTCTTTCTACATGTGTACAACAGGGTTTTCAGCACTGGATATCAACACTTCAGTTTCAGTTTTGCACATTTCAGCACAATGTCAGTACTGATTCAAGTCTCACCTACAAGAGGCTATTTCAGCATGGTTTTAGGGTATGCTGCCACCAGCCTGCCCCCTGCTCAGGCCGCCACAGCACAAAGTCTACGAGCTTGTTTGGTGAAGTGGTTTTCAAATGTGATCTTTGAGCTCTCTCATTCTATGAAGGCATCTCAAGGGCCACTCCTGAGCAATGAAGGAAGCTTGTGATCAGGGTTTGGTCCCTACCCCTAACTTCAGTAGGACAATTCTCATTTTACCTGTTTTATATATGGGGATTCTGCTTAAGATATGCTCTATCTTGTAGGAATCTACTGGCATGTTATTCCTTTTAAAAATAATAACAGCTATGACTAATTATTAAAATAAGATATTGATACACAAGAAAGCACACTTTCCACAGAAAACTCAGATGCTTGCCTATGAAGTCAACCGTCAAAAAAAGGCTCCATGCACACTCTCCTGATCAATTATTCTCCTTAACCTTCTCATATTTAGACACAAGGACCTTAAATGTCTCTTAGAATAGTGCTTCCCAGACTTCATGGACAATAAGACTTTTAATATACATATATATGTTTATACACATACACACAAGCACACGGGTTTGCAAATTTTTACTTTACAAACTTAAAAAGGTAAAAATAATGTTCTCAATAATGTAATATTTAAAATTAACATTTTCTCTTTTGGGAATGATAAAAATGTTCTAGAATAGATAGTGATGATGGCTGGACAACTTTGCAAATACCAGGAAAAGTCACTAAACTGTATACTTTAAAAGCATGAATTTTATGGTTTACAAATTACATCTCAACTAGAGGCCTGGTGCACAAATTTGCCCATGGGTGGGGTCCGGCCAGCCTGCCCCAATCAAGGTCGACCAGGTGGAGCCAGCCAGGGGATGTGGGGAGCCCTGGGCGGTTGGTGGGCCGGCCCTGCCCCCTGGTCGAACTCTGGTCAAACTCTTGGATGAGGGGACAATTTGCTATTACCCTTTTATTATATAGGATTAAAAAAAAAATTGAACAACACAAAAAAAGAATACAGAGAACTAAGGGCAATTGGTCAACATTTTCACTATAAACTGGTTAAAACTTCATCTTGGAGCAGCCAGCACCAGTCAGTCTGGGAACGAGAGTGTGGGATGACTGACCTGGAGAACAACACAGTGGGGGCTGGAGGAGAAAGTTTAAAACAGTGGTTCTCAACCTTGGCTGCACATTAGCATCACTTGGGAATCTTTTTTTTTTTTTTTTTTTTATATATATATTTTATTGATTTTTTTACAGAGAGGAAGGGAGAGAGATAGTTAGAAACATCGATGAGAGAGAAACATCGATCAGCTGCCTCCTGCACATCTCCCACTGGGGATATGCCCGCAACCCAGGTACATGCCCTTGACCGGAATCGAACCCGGGACCTTTCAGTCCGCAGGCCGACGCTCTATCCACTGAGCCAAACCGGTTTTGGCACTTGGGAATCTTTTTAAAATCCTGATTTCTGGGCCTCATCCTCTGGAAATTCTGTTTCTTTGTTATGGGGTGGGGCCACAACATTAGTAACAAAGAAACAGAATTTCTGGAGGATGAGGCCCAGAAATCAGGATTTTAAAAAGATTCCCAGGTGATGCTAATGTGCAGCCAAGGTTGAGAACCACTGGTCTAAAAGCTAGTATGAAACTGGACAGAGAGTGAGGGAAAGGAAACCAGACAGTCATGGCAAACTGGTACGAAGGAGACACCTGCTTGTTAAGCCTCAGGAAAGGAATTAAGTTTTCTACAACCCAAAGAGCTAAATACGTTTCTCATCTTCCTATACTGCAAGATACTTCTGCTATGGCATTCCTCCATTCTTCTGGATGACTCTGGAAGCAAAGAGAACAGCTGAACATGCCAGAATTTGGAGTGGAAATGGAAGAACATTAGGCCCCAGAGCCTGGTAGGTTCTTACCTTACTTTTATCCTACAGGAGGATGGCGGCGGGGCACATTCTTTCTCCCTGACGAAGAGACCCTGCATGAACCAGAGGGTTGGAATTTCACTGGAGTGTATAAAGGAGACCTACTTTGAGAGGATCCAGTCAAAAGAGAATCTATACCTCACATATCCGCGGCGTCAGCCCGACAGAGGCCTGGAGAACAGAAGGAAGGAAAGCATTACTGTTCACTCTCGTTGATGCTCCTCGCCCAACACCCAGGAGCTGTCAGCAGGAGGACGGGCACATGGCTCCTTGTGCTGGCCTGTTCACTCCAAGGAGTTCCACTGGTACTGTGGCGAAGACGCTATTCGCAGTGCTCTCAGGAGGAAGGCACCAGATGAGAGGCGGATCACCAGCCCAAGAAGGAAGAAATACCTGCTTTTGTGAAGTGAAGTTTCATCCTTCTTGGATCAAGCCACTTTCTCATGGTGTTTCCTCCCAAAACCTACCTCCTGTTGCTACACCCAGGAAAAATAGATACAGGTGTGCTCAAAACACACATTTAGAGAGAAGTGACTTCTCTTTTAATCTTGGATCTAGTGCTAACCTGTACTCAGGTTAAAGGCTTTATACCCCTGATTTGATGGGCATTTTCTTCTTTTAACTTCAAATACATAAAATCACAATAAACATGGACATAGTGAGCATGAGCTGAGCCCAAGGCAGTAAGGACAATCTTTCAGGAGGAATAGTGTTCGAAAGAATGATAGTGCCGTCACTGCTCCACCAGTTCACCTCAGCAGCGGACTTCTAACTCTAAAATAAAGAGGTATTCTTAAGGAACTCTACCCTTCTAATTTTCCATGATAAAAGAAGGCTCTCATAAGTCCTACATACTTTAGAAAGCTCCCATCCCAATAGTTGTTTCTCCTGCTTCTTTCTGACACTCAGGTCAAACACATGTAACCTCATTTCTGCTCAGTCCTGGCCAGCACTTAAGACTCAGGCTGGGTCTTAATCAATGATATGAGAAATTCAGAAGGACTGACAAGGTCTGCTTCATCAAAGAGAGTTGTAAAATTCTAAGGTTCTTCGGGGTTTAATAAACAGAGCTAATTATTCAAAGTTTACCCTTCAATTAAAGGGCTGAGAAACCTGCTGGCTAATACAGAAGATGGCCCATTAAATCTTGTTAAAGTTGACTGATTATGAAACTCACATTCTCTCTCTCAGTGGTTAGGACCATTTGAGATTCAACTTGCTGTGCCATTAGGAAGATATCTCATTCCAATTGCAATACTCACCGGGGTCCCCAGCATGGTGTATGTCTTCCCAGAGCCTGTCTGTCCATAGGCAAAAAGGCAGATGTTATAGCCTTTGGCAGCTCCATTCAGTACTTCAGTCCCCAAATCCTGGAACACCTGTAAAAACACAAAAAGCATGTCACTGTGGTCCTTTTTCCTATAGCAGACTTAGAATTATTTTTTAATCTAAAAGTTTTGCAAAATGTTTCAAACCTGCATGACTATACATTCTCCACCATTTCACAAGAATCAATTCAGTTTCAAAAAAAAAAAAAACTGCTAAAGAAAAGTCATTCATTCATTCATCCAAATACTTTTTAGGTGCTTACTGTATGCTGGGCACAATGCTAGATGATGAAGTTACAAAATAGATATGGGCCTTACCCAGTTTGCTCAATGGGTAGAGCGTCAACTTGAGGACTGAAGAGTTCTGGGTTCGATTCTGGTCAAGGGCATGTACCTCAGTTGCAGGCTCCTCCCCAATGTGCAGGAGGCAACCAATCGATACGTTTCTCTGATATCAATATTTCTCTCTGTCTTTCCCTCTCTCTTCCACTCTCTCTAAAAACTAAAGGAAAATATCCTCGGGTGAGGATAAAAAATAGATATCTATGGTCCCTAATCTTAATTCAAAGACATTCAAGCAAATCACTTAAGAAAGACCATGTGCATTAATTCTTTTTCCTTCCCACTGTAGAAAATGTTTCATATAGTCAGGAAAGCTACAATAAAATATTTCCCAGAATGTATACAAATTCAGGGTCTCAGGACACCACAGTGAGGATCAGTTAAGACCAGAAATTGGAGCATTTCCCCTACAGATCTCTTCCACATGCTCCCTCCTTAGACTGATCCTAACAGCTGGCTGGTTCTGCTGGTCACTCATCTCTGTGGCGGTCAGTTTTAGTGAATCAGAAACAGCCAGAGGTCCTCATGTGAAAACCCACATACAACATTTTGTATAGTGCTTGAAAGTTCTGTTGCACTCTGTTAGGCAGACCCTGATCTCAGGAAAAATAGCCTGGTTTACAGGGAAGACACAGCTCCCCAGTTCGACAGGTCTTCAGCAGGGTGCCACATGGAGATCTGCACCCGGAGACTCTATGGTGGACATCTACCCTTTGGGTTATTGCTGCTCAGCACCCTAATACTCTTCCTATTTGGGGGACTCTCTGATTGTGTCAGTCTTGGTGGGAAGCAGGACCCAACCCTCCACGACAGAAGTCAAACAGGCCAGAGACTCCGTTCTGCCTCCTGGCAGGCAGAACACCAACATGTGAAATAAGGCCAGCCAACTGGGTGTTCCAACTTGGATTTTGAGAGAATGACACCAAAACGGAGGAATTGTGAGTAAATTCTCCATGGTGGAATCAAGAGCCCAAGAGCACTGCACCTTGAACGAACAGTGGTACAAGTGCCAAGTGTGGTGACCAAATCAGACCAGTCTGTGATATGGCTTTGCCTGGCTTCCCCACTGCCTAGGATCCCATGGCTTCCTACCCATTTTTCAACTTTCCCTTTAATTCTGTGAATGGCTTGGTATGTTCCAAATTAGAACGTGGCCCTCGTGGTTCAGAGCTGTGTGATCCTGAGCAAGTTACTTAACTTTGTAAGTCTCAGTTTCTTTACCTGAGAAGTGGGTATTTTATATCGCTATCACAGGTTTATGAAGATTAAGTGAGATAATATACATAACTAGAGGCAACAGGACAAAGACAGAGGTTGCTGACTCAAGACTACACTGCCCTAGTCTATGTTTTAGCAGCTGCAGTTAGGCTTCTGGCCAGTGAACTGAGTGTTTTGTTTCAAATATTGAGATAGAGGCCAAAAGAACCCAGGAAGTAGTGAAAGACTGAGGCCTGTATCATTCCCCCCCCCTCCCCAATCTCCCTCCCAGCTCTGTCCTTCTCCCTTGCCAGTCATCCACTCCTATATGTATTAGCAAAACTAAGAATCTGGCAGGGTTCCCTTTGACTCCTGACATCTGTCTGGGTTAAATTCCCAGGGATTGAAGGAGGGGTCGTGTCTCTTCATCAGACCATTTCAGTTGGCTGTCATCCATTTACTAGCTGGAAAATGTTCCACAAAACTCAACCTTCCTTTGTAGTACCCCAGCAGTAAGTGGGAACAGAGGTGCAGCCAGAGCCAGGCCACATCTTTTGCAAATGCTCTTTCTTCCCACCACTCACACACTCAACAGACTCAGCTCAGTGGATTGTGAAGAAAACAACAAAATAAGGGCCCAATGCGGGGGAGGGAATATATGTAATACTTTTAATAATAAAGATTTACCCCGCCGGCCTCTGAGCCGGGGCCAGCCCTGCCCCTGCCCCTGCCTGCGGGCCCGGCCTCCTCCTGTGCCAACATCACCACCCGCCTGGGCGCACCCGCCCGTCACTGCGGCCCAGGGTCCCGCCAAGGTCTTACAGCTGCAACTCTAAGCAACTATGTTACAAATATAGAATCTAAACAAAACCCCAGAAACCTACTTTAGTCCGTCGGGCTTCAGCCAGCAGGATCGTAACATTGTTTCAAATACAGAAGGTAAACAAAGGCCAGATACCTGCTTTCAGCAGCAGAGGCCTAAGAGCTGGAGCCAAGCCTCAGAGCTAAAGCTGGCCCAGAATAAAAAAAGAAAAAAAGGAGCAGTTGGGAGCTTCAGTCACCCGCCAGCCTGAAAACAGCCCTCAGCCCCTCACCCAGACTGGCCAAGCACCCCAGTGGGGACCCCCACCCTGAAGGGGGTGTGACCAGCTGCAAACAGCCATCATCCCCTCACCCAGGCTGGCCAGGCACCCCAGTGGGGACCCCCACCCTGATCCAGGACACCCTTCAGGGCAAACCAGCCAGCACCCACCCGTGCACCAGGCCTCTATCCTATATAGTAAAAGGGTAATATGCCTCCCAGCACCGGGATCAGTGGAGCCGAGAGGCCTCCCGGCACCGGGATCAGTGTGACAGGGGCAACACCCAAACCCCCTGATCGGCTTGCGGCTCTGTGTGTGACAGGGGGCGGGGCCACAACCTCCCTATCGGCCCTGCTCTGTTCGTGACAGGGGAAGGCGCCCCAACCCCCTGATCAGCCCTGCTCTGTGCCTGATAGGGGGGAGCTCCCCAACCCCCTGATCACCCTGCGGCTCTGTGTGCGACAGGGTGCGGCGCCCCAACCCCCTGATCGGCCCTGCTCTGTGTGTGACAGGGTGTGGCGCCCCAACCCCCCCCCCTCCCCCACGGGCCCTGCTCTGTGTGTGACGGGGTAGAGCCATAACCTCCCCATCGGCCCTGCCCTGGGTGTGACAGTGGCGGTGCCCCAACCCCGATTGGCCCTGCTCTGTGCGTGACAGGGTAAGCAGCCCCAACCCCCCTGATGGGCCCTGCTCTGTGCGTGACAGGGGGCAGCGCCCCAACCCCCTGATCTGCCCTGCTCTGTGTGTGACAGGGGGTGACGCCGCAACCTCCCCATTGACCCTGCCTTGAGTGTGACAGGGGCGGTGCCCCAACCCCCCAATCGGCCCTACCCTGAGCGTGACTGAGGGTGGCATCGCAACCTCCCAATCTGCCCTGCTCTGTGCATGACAGGGGGCAGTGCCCCAACTCCCCAATCGGCCCTGCTCTGAGCCTGACCAGGGGCTGCACCTAGGGATTGGGCCTGCCCTCTGCCACCCGGGAGCGGGCCTAAGCCAGCAGGTCGTTATCTCCCAAGGGGTCCCAGACTGCGAGAGGGCACAGGCCGGGCTGAGGGACCCCCCCCCCCCCAGTGCACAAATTTTTGTGCACCAGGCCTCTAGTCTATAATAATGAAAGCGTAATATCAACCGAACGGCTGAACAGCAGAATAACCGTCCAGACAACCGTCTGGATGAAGCCAGGGCTGTGAGGACTGAGCCCCTTGCACGAATTTCATGCATCGGGCCTCTAGTCTATATATATATATATATATATATATATATATATATATATATATATATATATATAAATAAAAGGCTAATGTGCAAAGTGTCCCTGTGGAAATTCGACTGGGAGACCAGGAGTTCTATCGCTCACTATGATGTGCACTGACCAAGGGGCAGCACAGAACGAAGGGAGGCCCAGGCTGGCAGCTGGAAGGAAGGCCCTGATTGGCCCTGATCACTGGACAGGCCTAGGGACCCTACCTGTGCACAAATTTCATGCACTGGGCCTCTAGTACTTGTATATAAGCAGAAAACATGCCTGGAGGATGAAGTTTCTGTTTTTAACTCTCATTCCTGCCTAAGTAGAAAAATTTTTCCTGCAACCATGTTGCTAGGAGCAAATTTCCTGTTTTTACTATTATTTAGTCTGAATGGGTCTCTAGAGAGTAATCTTAATGCTGGAGAAACAAATGAGCTGAGCCCCCAAGAAAGTTCCGGTTTAATAGTTGGGTTCCGCTGGCCTAGAGGAAGGCCCATATCATTCTCAGCGTCCAAGGTCTAGTTGAGGAGATTAATTTTGTGTTGATCTGAACAGCATCTGCCTCATGCATACCACTGGCAAGGGCCTTCCTCCCTTGAGTTACACTTCCCTCTTCCAACCCTGAAAACTAGTTTGCAGAAGAGAAAATCTGCATGTTAGAATCACAAAATCTCCCACCACACTGGTCTTGTGGCACCCTTGCGCCTCACCTCCTCCTATCAAGTCACTTTAACAAAATAAACAAAGTGTGACTCCAGCCTCAGCCAAAAGCCCTGGGACAAAGGTGCATCTCAGCATTGTTACCAAAGTGCATGCAAAAGACCCCCCCAAAAAATTATGATGGAAGAGAGACCTGACAGTGGTGAGCATTTAGCTCAACAATTACCTGCTGGTGACACCTGAGAAATGTACTGACAAAAACCTGGACAGTCACTCAGGAACTTGGGACTGATTTCCAACGAAGCATAGTTAATAAGCCTCTAAAAATCCTGACAGAACTGACAAATGCCTAAGAGATTCATTCTCTCTGGCGTATAAATGCTTCTATATGGAAGATACTGAGCAGATGAGGGTCATCTCTGCTGAAAAATAAATACTTGGGAATTAAAGCTGGTCGAGCCCTAGCCGGTTTGGCTCAATGGATAGAGTGTCGGCCTGCAGACTCAAGGGTCCCAGGTTCGATT